GGAGTCATACAACCACAGGGTGGCCTGGTGGGCGGAGTCATACAACCACAGAGTGGACTGATGGGAGGAGTCATACAGCCACAGGGTGGACTGGTGGGCGGAGTCATACAACCACAGGGTGGACTGGTGGGCGGAGTCATACAACCACAGGGTGGACTGGTGGGCGGAGTCATACAACCACAGGGTGGCCTGGTGGGCGGAGTCATACAACCACAGAGTGGACTGATGGGAGGAGTCATACAGCCACAGGGTGGACTGGTGGGCGGAGTCATACAACCACAGGGTGGACTGGTGGGCGGAGTCATACAACCACAGGGTGGACTGGTGGGCGGAGTCATACAACCACAGGGTGGCCTGGTGGGCGGAGTCATACAACCACAGAGTGGACTGATGGGAGGAGTCATACAGCCACAGGGTGGACTGGTGGGCGGAGTCATACAACCACAGGGTGGACTGGTGGGCGGAGTCATACAACCACAGGGTGGACTGGTGGGCGGAGTCATACAACCACAGGGTGGCCTGGTGGGCGGAGTCATACAACCACAGAGTGGACTGGTGGGCGGAGTCATACGACCACTGGGTGGACTGGTGGGCGGAGTCATAGTGTAGTTTAGTGTAGCTTTTGTTTTAAGGTACAGCTTTACCTCTGCTCATGATTTTTATCAACGGTGTCAAATTCAAAATGCCTCTTCTCATTTCACTTGCTACAAAAATGACGATGGATTATTCAATAATTCAAAAAGCTGCATGTTAACTATTCTGTCATTTGTTTTATTGACTAATTGTTGAAGCTTTAAGAAGCACATAAAGCTGTGAGGATCATGACGAACTGATGTGTTTGAATCTCAGACGTAGCAGGACTCGGATCACAGCAGAGTATCTCACCAAGTTTTAGCTACTGTTGTGGATTCTCTTCTGGGACGCTGTGTGATAAAGTGGCCTCAGCCAGAACAATCACTGCATCAGTAACAGTGATGTTATAATGGAGAGAGTGTGACGGAGCCTCTGATGCATCTCTTAGTATTCAGACAGCAGCTTCTCCTTCAGGACTTACAGACCATTATTTGTGTTTGATGCTACAATTATACAGAAATCGTTTTTCAAAATTAAACACAAGATGAGTAAAGAGCTCGAGTTCTCCAATTAATCTGTTTAAAGTGACGACTTTTATAATTTAATCCTGATCAGTCTTTAATGAATTATCCTCTGGTAGTAAAAAGCCGCACTTACCACAATTTCAACGCTGCCAATAAAGCTTTTCCTCAAAACTATGAATCTGTATTTCCATGTTTGATTCAGCATTATCACACCTCTCAGATGTGTTCTGGTTTCTCTGGCTCTCCTGAGAGCATGTCGATATGAAAATCAATTTCATTTACACTTCAGTCACGAATCAGCATCATATATTCTCACCACATCCCATGAAATGTATTAATTAAATCATAGTGTGATTGTGGTGATTCTTATCAGCCATTTCCTGTAATGACTTATCACTGCAACAGAAGCCGCTCAGATACGACAACTGCAGCGACCGTCTTATGGATGATCATCAGTAGAGAGTGAGAAGGAGGAGGTCCACCGAGACATCCTGTGGGAAGGTTGATTGACTGTTACTGTGGGAAATAAAACACCGGTGTTAGCCGAGCTTCCTTCTCTTTCTTCCCACCTGAAGAAAAGTTCCTCTGCAGTAAATCCAAGTGGAAATCGACTCTAGTTAGGGAAAAGTTAGAGAATGCATCGCTTCATCCATCTTTGAGTTCCCCTTAACTCTCTCGTCTGTTTGTTATTCTCTTCTTCCTCCATTCCTCCCGTGCATATAAGCTCCGGCGCTCCTCTCCCTGCCTCTATCTGCTCTCTTTTTCTTCACGCTTCACTAAACACAAACTTTATGATTCCCGTTTGCTGCATTCTTCTCTCCTCAGTAGTTCCATTCTTGTGTGGTTGAAGGCAGAAGGTGTGCGGCGTTTGGCTGACAAGCGCATTCAGAGACCATAAATCTCCAAACATATGAGAGGCAGCGCACATAATCTGTCAGGCTGCTCTCAGTGTTAGAAGACGTGTGTGTGTGTGGGTGCTTGTGTATGTGGACTCTCAAAACACTATTAATGTAAAAGGAGCAAAGGCCCAAGATATAGTTTGGTATTTGTGCGTATGCATGTGCATTTTAGCCCTCATGTTTGCATCTCTTTGACACGATGTGTTTGACTTTCCTCCATGTTTGCTCACACATGCATGGCTGAGTGCCACGGCTGCATGCTCTCAGCTTGTTGTAGCCTCGAGAAATCAAACAGCACCCATACAGTGCTTGTGAGGCTCTAAGCAAAGACCACAGATGCAGAAGGCAATCGGAGCTGGCTTCACACAGCACTGTGGGAGCTCATTACTGTATTCTTTGGGCTGGAAAATGTCTGTCAGTGAGGATTCATTAAAAGCCAACCTGCTGCAGCAGCTCCTGGCCGCGCTGTAATGAGAGGTCCTTCACAATTTGGGCTCCCCAGTGGTTCAGATTGGACAGGTGAAATATCGGCGGTAATCTGCATTACGGATGGAGGCTTTGTTGCAGTCATTAGCATTACAATGCTCGTGTTTGCTCAGTTCTTTACGGAACAGTTGCAGTCAGCTCGCTGTCGCCTGCTCGGGGTTAGAGCACTTTCCAGTAGCTGCAGAATAACAGCCATTTATTTTATCTTCCTCCAGAAACGTTTCACTCGGCAACTGCTGCTCCCCATCGAGTTTTTTTATCCTCGTTTCTCCACACTTCACTCTCCTCTTTTGAAAATTTAATTGAAGCATTGTTCAATAGTTTTTGTCCGTCATTATTAATGCAGGTGGACTATTCTGAGGGCAGACTGGGCGTATTTTGACGCTGGGTTTGAGTCGGTGTGTTTAACCTGGCTGCCTCAGTCGCTCTAATTTTATCTTGAGGATTCTGCGTCCCTTCTGCGGAGCGTCTGTCGTAGAGAAGATGTAAAGGCTGCTTTGTGTGAGGTGAACTGTTTGAGTCTGTGCCTGTGCGCTAAAAGCTTCTGTCTCACTCGCTGTTTTCTTTCTTTGCATTGATTTCCCGAGGCCATTTTGTTTTGTGTTCTGCATTTTCAGTGTCAGCTCATTGATCACTGTATTGTCATGAGAGCAGAAATAGATGTCACAGCATCATCAGTGCTCTTCATCTTTGCACTCCACCTGTTTTCTTCCCCCCCTCTGTTAACTTCTTATCTGGTGTCTTGCAGACTCGCACCCCACGTGTGACACGACTCAGCCCGACACAGCCGGCTCTTGCTGACCAGACCAGCAGGGTATCCTTTGCGTCAGCTGAAAATCTGGAGACCATGTCGGAGCCTGATATCCCCATCGGCTTTAACCGGATGAACCGGCTCCGCCAGAGCCTGCCGCTGGCTCGCTCGTCCAGCCAGGCCAAGCTGCGGGCGCCAGGTCAGAGCACTGTCTTTAAGACAACACCTACACTCACTCTGTGTTACACTGTGACTCCAGTGAGACTCAAGATGGGTCCATCTGTTGCCCCTCATGTTGTGCACAATAGATGAGCAAATACAAGAGTTAGCTTAGCATAGTTTTGGTTTGGTCTCTGTGTATGAAATCACTAGAGACAACACACTGAAGTCGTGCTGTAGAAATGATCCTGTATCTTTTTTATTCCTAGTTTATTCCTAACTCATGCAGTGAGAGATTCATTGACTGAATTATCATTTATTTTGTTATGTGTTGGTGGATCCTTGTTTTTTGATATGTGAAGATATTTTCTAGTTTTTGAAAATGCTAGCATGTGGCTCTATGGATGGCAGCATGGCCAGTCAGTGACTTTGGTCCAGACTGATATCTCGACCTCTATTGGATGCATTGGCATGACATTTTATGCAGACATCTGTACTCCCCAGAGGATGAATCCTACCGTTCCTCTGACTCTTCATCCAGCCCCATCATCAGGTCGACAGTGGTTTAAAGTGAAATGTGTCAGAAACAGTTTGATGGAGTGCCAATAAGTTTGATACTCACATTCATGCTCCCCTCAGGTTCCCCTTAGTACCAACATGGAGCAGGTTCTGTGTCCTGCACCTTATTATTGAAGCGTTCAAAGCATTTCGATCAAAAATAATTTACTTCATAACCTAAAAAGTTGGTGAACTTGGCTCCCAGCTGGAACTGAAACATGGCAGGTTTTCCTTGACTTGAAGTGGAAATGGTGACGACATCAGTGGACACATCATATTCTACAGGTCAAATAAGAACTCGCCGACAGAAATACAGTGTGTAGTGTTCAAATTAATAGTTGGTCCACGCTTGAGGGGGAAAAATATCTGTTAATAACTGAGCGCAAGTTCACAGCTAATAAATACAATCTGCCATCTTGCCACTACTGTATACTTTCAGTGCAACACCCTCTGTTGATGACACATCCTTAGATACAATCTCAAAACTGGTGGAAAACGGGCCGGTACGCTACATAGCACCAAGAGTCCAAGAGTCCTACACGGAACCGGTTCAAGAACCAGAGCTAATTTAGGGAAAAGCTGTGACACTGGGTGCGGTTACATGATGGCTTCTCATTCTGAATGAAATAAATCTGAATGAAATCATTCTGAAATAAAGTCTTTCCGGGTAGTTTACATGAGAAATATTCATTCTGAATGAGGGAATCTGATGGGTCGGGCCGGATTCTGTTTGCGTTCGGCCCACTTGACGTGCTGTTGTGTTGTGCTATGGCCTGTTCAATTGCTGGAATTTGCTATTTACGTGACAACGCCTGAACGCAACTTCACACAATAACTATGTTGGTTAACAAACTGCGTAAAGTTCGGCCGGGTTCGGTTATAACTGTCTCAGACTCGGGTCGAGTTCAGTCAGGAAAATGTGGCCCGAGCTTTAGCGGTGTGAACTGGCCGATCTGAGCTCGACTCAAGTGGCTGATGGTGTCACCTGACACTCAGCTGATCAAATCGCCAGTGGCTGGTTTTAGAACGTAAATCTTGTCACCCGTTTCTACAGCCAATCAGCTTGTAGTGAAGTCTGCTGGTCAAGTCAAAATGACCGCAGATGGCGTGTTGGCTTGTTGCAACAGGTGCTCTGTCCCCACCGAGCCCGTCCTCATGGTGTGCCGGTGTTGGTCGGAAGGTCGCTGGCATTATTGATTGTATCGTACAAATGCAAAATTACTGGGAAGTGTTTGACAACCTGAGTCGTGCTGATCTGTCCTCCATTTCCTCGTCTCTAATTCCCTGACAATTAGTTTGCAGATAGATCATTTTGAGACAAGGCCAGTGTTGTGTTCCTGTGCTGCTCTGAGAACAGTGACGCTGTGAGACAAAAGGCCTGTGATTAAACTGATAACATTCTGCATTTCCACTTTGGCTCTCCTCAACTGATGTTTCTATTCATCTCCATTCAGGGTGCAGCTCGAGTCAGCGTACCCTCATTTTCACTCTCATGTGTCAGCCTTGATTAATGTGAATCTGTCCCGTCTATTGACATCTCTCTGACTGACGAGCTGAGAGTCAATCACGCTCTGGACGTGTCCACGCATGTAAACCATTAATCTTTTTTGATGTTTTGGACAAGACACATTAGTCGTGACTTTACAGCGTCGTCCTTTTCCAGGGAATTGCTGATTTGAGTTGACTGAAGGCATCAAGTGTTAATCTAGTGAACCTGGTCCAGCCCTCTGAGTGTCAAGTCAAAGTCAGACTTCAGTCGGTGGGATCGCTGAATACAAACAGAGCTGTGTAACGCTTCCAAATGATCTCGCCAAGCCACCTGTCATCTTTGATTCATGGCTTTGGCAAGAGGCAAAATCATCTGCTTCTTAAAAAGTGTCTCTCTCTAATGTGAGGAGGACGGCGATGCATTCACAGGAGTCAGAGAAGGTGGGACAAAATGCAACCAAGTGCAATTCTCAACAGAGCATCTAAAGAATTAAAAACTACCAGTTGAATGTGAAACTTTGGTAATAATATATTTATATATTCATCTCAGTGTCAGTTTGAGGTGCTTTATAGCAAATTGCATAAAGTACCTGAGTTCATCTTGTCTTTCCACACTTAATATTACTGACACACAGGTGAGAATTCTCACTCTGCTCACAATACTGCTGCAGCTTCCAGCTAATATAAGGATGATAATTATGTGTTGTTTCACGGGACTTAACTTGTTCAGGTGTGATGGCACAGAGGAGAGTGACTGTTCCAAACAACCTCACGAGTTGTGTTGGCTAGCAGGAGTTATGACGACGGGTCTGTGTCCTCATGGTGTTTGTCTTCAGCAGGAAAGTGGTGACAGGGCGCAGGGGAGCGCTTCATCCCAGCACTTCACAGAAAAGCGCTCCCAGCACTGTTCATAATGATGCATTGCGCTTGTGTTGTGTTTCTATGACAACAATATCTTGACACTAACGTTAGCTAGATGGCAAATGAAACTCTACGTTAACGGAGGATTAGGGGCCGTACAGATCAGAAGTTCAGAGAGTTGTCAACTAGAGATGATACGCCGTCTCATGGTGGTCACTTCCTGTCAACGTTACAGATCAGAAGCACAGAGAGTTGTTGACTAGAGATGATACGCCGTCTCATGGTGGTCACTTCCTGTCAACGTTACAGATCAGAAGCACAGAGAGTTGTTGACTAGAGATGATACGCCGTCTCATGGTGGTCACTTCCTGTCAACGTTACAGATCAGAAGCACAGAGAGTTGTTGACTAGAGATGATACGCCGTCTCATGGTGGTCACTTCCTGTCAACGTTACAGATCAGAAGCACAGAGAGTTGTTGACTAGAGATGATACGCCGTCTCATGGTGGTCACTTCCTGTCAACGTTACAGATCAGAAGCACAGAGAGTTGTTGACTAGAGATGATACGCCGTCTCATGGTGGTCACTTCCTGTCAACGTTACAGATCAGAAGCACAGAGAGTTGTTGACTAGAGATGATACGCCGTCTCATGGTGGTCACTTCCTGTCAACGTTACAGATCAGAAGCACAGAGAGTTGTTGACTAGAGATGATACGCCGTCTCATGGTGGTCACTTCCTGTCAACGTTACAGATCAGAAGCACAGAGAGTTGTTGACTAGAGATGATACGCCGTCTCATGGTGGTCACTTCCTGTCGACGTTACAGATCAGAAGCACAGAGAGTTGTTGACTAGAGATGATACGCCGTCTCATGGTGGTGACTTCCTGTCGACGTTACAGATCAGAAGCACAGAGAGTTGTTGACTAGAGATGATACACCGTCTCATGGTGGTCACTTCCTGTCGACGTTACAGATCAGAAGCACAGAGAGTTGTTGACTAGAGATGATACGCCGTCTCATGGTGGTGACTTGGTGACAACAGGCAGGTTGTTAGAACGTTGCAGAACGGCACATTACAAGTAGTTGCCTGTTTCAAGTCGCCTCACCGCAAATCTTTGGTCTGAATTCAGGCATCATTATTTTGTTTTTTATTTTTCTATTTATATATTTTCGAAAGGGGCTTATTCTGCGCCAAATGTATGTATTATACACTATTTAGTTGGGGGAGTGTTACACCCTTTGCGTGCACTTTGAGGATTGTGCGATTTCTTTTCGTCTTATTTTTGCAGGTTTAGCTGATGTCAAAGCAGCACCATCCTGTTGCAAAGCAAATATTTTGAGGTGAAAATTTTGCCCCCGCTCTCTGTTTTCACCCCTGACTCTAAACTCCATCACCCCCCCTTCAACCATCGTGGATCTCCCTCATTGCTCCTCCCCATCCATAAATGCAGGGATCTTGTTCCTCCAGCTTGGGGAGGAGACTCGCCGGGTGCACCTGACCCACGAGCTGACCAGCCTGGATACTCTGAGGGCGCTCATTGTGCACATGTTCCCCCAGAGGCTCACCATGGCCATGCTCAGGTACGTCTGGATGTGTGTGTAAATATACGTAAGTACACAGGTCATTGAAGCGTCTACATGCTCATTGATTGGCCGAGATGTTATTTTAAACATCTGCAGCGCTGCAGGTTTTATTAAATCAATCACAGGGTGAGTAGTGTAAGTGACATGTTTCATTTTCATCCTCAGACACACTTAGAGAAGTAATATGTTTTGTAAACAGATGGAGAATGAAAGCAGGAAACAAACAGATAAAAATCAATAAAGCCAAAGGAGGTGTGAAATTGTCTCTTTCAGGCCACGAGTGGACCTGCAGAAACTCTCAGTGTCAGAGCTCAGAAATCATGTTGAAATAACAAATGAAAGTCAAACTGAAATCTGAGTCCTCCTCATTATTAATGCATGAAATATAACCTGCAGCTATTGTACACAGTTTTACTGTTTAATAGAGAATAAAAGCATTCCTGGACGTATTTGTGGAAACAGAGTCGAAGCTTTGAGCCTCTGAGTGAGCATTTTTTATGGTCCTCTAAATCTAAGAAATGCTGATACAAAAGGCTTTTTTCATATTTGAGAAGCCTATTTAGTGTAACTCAGGAATTATGGATGTTGTCTTCCTGTCCCCTTTGTAACATTCAGTATTTGGGAGGACCCATGTGCGATAACGTTTTTACTTCACTTGGGCAGTGGAAGCTAGCAGGGTAGGCTAACTAGTGGTGGCGTCATATTACATCATATCATTGGAGTGCAACATGTGCAGTAAAACCAGGTCAAAAAGATCATAGAACATGGGCATGATTGATTCGTTCAAAGAGCAAATGCTTTCTACATGAACTCGTTCTATTGTATAACACTAAAGGCCTTTGCACACAGTCTGTTTTTTTTTGTCCGTAATTGTCGCACGTCTGATTGTGTCAAGTCCGAAACTTTCATCCGTCATTAAAACTTTCGGAAGAGGTTTGATTTTATGTTTTCCACCTCCGTCAGAGCCGTTAGAGACGTTTGTCCAACAATCAGTGAAGAAACTGTGACGCTGGGACACAGCTGTGACGAGACAGAGGAACAATGGGCATAGAATCATTTCATTACTCAGACAGCTACTTTCAACAGGGCAGATAGTTATATTCAGGTGGATGATGATGATGAAGAGGAGGAGCACGACCGCACACAGAATGTGGAGGACAGAGAAGGATGACAGATGGGGGAGTGATGACAGCCACATAGGTACCTCCATTGGAGAGCATCTTTTCATTTTGTCTCGTATTGCGAGAGGTTTCTGTGTGTAACGCCTTTCTTTGGATGAGGGATTAAAAACAGACTCAGTGTGCAAAGGCCTTCATGCAGGCGGTGCTGTCACTGCAGGAAAATAAATTCAAATGTCTTCTTTTTGGTGGTGAAGTTCTTAAGACAAAATAAACACCACTGATTTCAGTCTCAGTATTTGATATTCCTCAACACGCTTCTGTAAGGGACGTCAATGTTTTTCAACAATTGGGTGGAAAAATCGTTAGACTTTTTCATCACGGTGTTGATTATAGATAATCTGTATAATCTGCTCAGTGATACGTTTAAATCCATATTGTTATTGTCAGCAGGAGTCTCTTAACTCCAGACCCACTGAATATTAAACTTCTGATGAATTCAATATGAGACTGAGTCCAGTTGATTCTCTCATTACTAGCGTCTCATGCAGTTTAAAGATCTTCCAGTTCCCCCTCGTCGTCTGTAAACGAATGTACATCACTGATTGTGAGCTGGTAATAGGAGCTGAAATTGTCTTAGTGTGGACTATTTATCAGTGTTTGTGTTTTGATGATAATCGATGTTCAGGTCTCCCAGCACAGCTCTGTTGATCAAAGATGAGACCCGTAACGTCTTCTACGAGCTGGAGGACCCGCGGGACGTCCAGGACCGCTGCGTTATTAAGATTTACTGCAAGGAGCCAATTTACGGCACCTACCCCGGACACCAACACCCACACCTGGCTAACGGAGACCTGCGGGTAAGTGTGGCATTTTATTCCTCCATCTTTGTGCGGCTGCAAAAATGATTTTCTGAATCACTGAGTTTCCCTAATTGTAAGAGTTTACAAGGTCTTTGAGTGATGTAGGAAAGTCCAGAGACAAGAGAATGACTGAAGACGTTTTTTACAGTATTCGAGACTTTTCATCCACATTAGCTTTGTATTTATTGTGGTGCCAAAATGTAAACCGATGCAGAGAAAATGATCCCGCTTCAGTCACAGTCACCTTTTCCTTCATTACCAATTCATTCTCTGTGCAGCTGGCTTATGACTCATAGATTAGGAAGCGAGACAAACACTTGTCTCTTCTGGCAGTGGCAGATAGCAGCCAACCAAATCATCCCACGAATAATACACTCTGTAATTCCCCTTGAAAATTGTTATTTATTCGCCCACACGCTGGTTTTCATCTCCCACATATCACTGATATTATTTCTGTGTGTGTTTACAAACACTAGTTTGCATTACATAATGTGTCCAGGCAGAAGTTCGTCTCATCCACTCTCTGAGTACGAGTGAGTCATGTGACCTTCCTTACTCCAGCACTACTGTTCCTGGACCATCGCCAGTCCTTCACATCAGCGGTGCTGACTGTGCTGGATGCCAGCAGACTGTAAAGCTGCATAAACACTATTCCGAGATGATAAACTGAGGTCCAGTTCATCTGAGGACTGAGGTTGGTTGTTGTAGTACAAGTCTTGGTACGTGACACAGACGTGGACGTTTCTAGTCGCCTCTTCATCAGCTCCACTAAGTTTGCTTTAAATTTATGCTCTCAAGTCCATGTTGCAAGCGTTGTGGTGCTTTTTGGTGTTGGACGGGTGTGTGGCTGTGAGTCACTCATCTGGGTGAAGAAACTCTCCTCCTGTGACTCTGACAGCATGCCAGGTCGATGTTTTCAAATGTGAACGTCAGTAAACATCAAGGCAAAGATGGAGAAGATAGCAGCAGCTGCAAACCCCACCACACTGACGAACAAGGCCGTCTCTGCATCCTTAGCTACGCTGACATGACATGGAAAGTGTGGAGGACTCAAACAACGGATGTGAACCCGGTCACATGCATCTTTGTGCCAAGCCAGCATCCTGCCAGCCACTGTACAAGCATCGAACAATAAACTGAACGACCTCCATGTCCGCATCAGTTCCCAATGAGATATTGAGAACTGAGATTTCCTTTGTTTCTGGAAAACGTGGCTAAATCCTGTGTAAATGGGTGAATGTGGCATGTTGTGTAAAAATGTGCTTTGAGTGGTCAGAAGACGAGAAGTACAGTCCATTATACGGCTCTCAGGACAGTGGTGCCCCCAAGGGAGGGCTACGTAATTGCTGCCCTCCTCATTGGCCCCTCCTGGTGAAAATAGTTGGAGGCTGATATTAGTGTCTTTAAGAGGCTGTGGAGTGCTCACTTTTTAAGCTAGTGTGAAAGTAGTGGTATCTTACTCACTGGTACCAACCAGGTCTGCTCAGCTTGTCAGGGAGGCGGCTAGATAACTCTGGCCATTTTCAAAATGGTTCCTTGAACTCTCAGCTCAAGATATCTGAATGAAAACTGGTTCAACTGGGATGCCATGAGTCTCCCCTGAACTTGAGAGGGCTTGTTCCCAGTAAATGTTTTGTTCCTTAGGATAAATGTGCTCCTTCAAATATAAATTTGTCTTTTCAAGGAAAAGGAAAGCCAGCCTCGAAGAACAATGAATCGCCCAACAAGTATGGATCATGTAACAGTTTCAGTCTTTGCACATTAGATAGTAATATGAACTATAAATAAGGAACCAAAGTATATTAGTATGCGATTCCTTAACTCTTACTCTAACTCATATTGACAAAGTTTTCAACTGTTCTATATGCTAAGCAGCATCAGTAACTTCCTCAAATCTAAATTTGCATTTCTGAAACTCAGTTTTGGCTTTTGGTTTTGGTGGACCAACAAGATTACTGGGGGCGCTGCTGGTTCAAAGGCGGCTGCAGAGTGGTGCTGTACCAGTTCAACAGAGCGACCATGCGGCCATCTTGTTGAGCTCGAGCTATGTAAACAAAGACGCAGGCAGACCTGACTGCCCGGAGACGACAGGCTGTGTCAGCTCTGTCCTCAGAGCAGCATTTCCTGCTACAGTGCAGCACATATGAAGACAGCAGGACAACGTTCAGTAACACTTTACTTGAAGGTATCTACATAACTATGACATGACACTGTCATGAACCTGTCATGAACATTATGTACATGGCGTGAACGTTTATGACTGCTGTCATTAAGTGTCATCTGGTTTTTGTAATGACAAGTTGACATTGTTTGGGTTGTCTTGATTATGACAACTTGACATTGATTAAAGTGACATTACCAGAAGTTGTCTTTGTCATAACAATAATAATCATTATGTCAGTTTGTCATTAACACAAAAAGAGGTGCATTTCTTGTCAATGTCAGCTTGTCATTACAAAGACATCTTCTGGTAATGTCACTTTGATTAATAGGCCCGTCTCCACCGGAGGAACTTCGGGGTAATTTTACGGGGCCGGGGCCGTTGGTGCGTGTCTCCACCGAAGGACAGAGTTCCGGAACTTTTACAGGGGCTAAACAAGTCCCTGCCTTGGGGTAGGTACTCAGAACAGCCCTGAGAAACTCTTGGCTGGGGCTTGGGGATTACTTGGTGCTGACTGGATATACTCAAGGAGGGATGTGACGTCAACAGAAAGCAACAAAATAGCCGGAATTTTTAAAACTCGAGACAAGGGTTAGCTCGTTCATATAGCTTCCGCCGCCATGTAAACAAACTCAGTAAACGGTCCATGAAAAAAATATTTTTTCCAGCAGATATCTTAGTTACAACATGATTGAGCTAGCAAAGCAGTTTTGTGTTGCTATGTGTGGTATTTATTCAGTTTTGGGAAATCACAATGTCTAGAAAGCATCAGCTGACAGGGACAGCTAACAGCAGCAGCAAAGCTAACATCAGGACGTCATCTGTTAAAAGCCTCCTGTTGTCGGATACGACATGAAACTACTCCAGTTAGCTCAATCATGTTGTAACTAAGACATCCGCTGGAGAAAATATTTTTTTCATGGACCGTTTATTGAGTTATTACAGACACCGCTAATGCCTAATAGCTAACGGCGTCCCTACGCCACTACGTCGCCCCGGTCAAAATGGTTGTGCAACAATTACATCACATCCAGAGCCCGGTAACTTTACAGGAACCTTCCTCGTACTCTGCTCTCTCAGTTGAGACACGGCGGTTGAGAGGGCCGAGCGAGAGGACTTTCCTGTAGTAGTTCCTGCCCCCCAAATAGTACCAGGAACTTCTTCAGTGGAAACGGGCCTAATGTCAAGTTGTCATAATCGAGACAACCCAAACTATGTCAACTTGTCATTACAAAAAACAAATGACACTTAATGACAGCAGTGATAAACATTTATGACATGTACATCATGTTTATGACAGGTTCATGACAGTGTCATGTCACTCTTATGTTAGTCTCTATATACAGACTAGAGCTTAGATCGGGCCCAAAAAATCCAGCCCGACCCGGCCCGAGCCTGTGCACATTATGTCCGGGACCGGCCTGGCCCAGCCAATTAACTGTAATTAACGGCCCGAGCCCGATTTAAACCCGGCATTTTTCAATAAGTTGGCTGTTATAATTAACACTAAGGACACACCGAGCGCGTTAGTGCCACGGAAGTCAGGCGCTTGACTGTCCACACAGGCAGTGCATTTCTCCTGCGCTCTCTGTGCCAGTTAAACATTGACTCCACTCGTCTGTTCCCGTCAGTACTCGTTTTTTCACTTCAACAGGTCATTTTAAACATGGCTAAGGCCACATTTTCATCGTCCGTTCGGTGAACTAACAAGCCGGACACAATTGGCGTCACTGCAAACTCTGAATCCATCGCAATGGTTCAGCATATTTTCTTATATATAAACGGAAGTCGGAAACAGAAATTCGCCTCCTCCACCCAAATCAAACAGGAATGCCAAAAGTCGGGGGTCTGTCCCCAGAGGCTGTATCGCCGTCTGCCGGAAGTCAGACGCCAAATACCTTCAAGTAAAGTGTTACCCAAAGTTCTTCACAAAAACTGAATGTAAACAATATAAGACTGTTGTCCAAGAGAAGATAACAATAAGATTTTGATTCACTCTCTGACCAGACTAAAATACAGCATCTGCTTGGACAAAACAGTGTCAGCGTCATAGATGCAGGAAGATATGTTAGAGACAACCGACACAACAACATATAGTTCATCTCAGTAAAATCACACTCTGCCTTTTTATTTACTGCTTCACTTGATACGATTTTTTCCCTTTAAAATGTATGTTTATGCCAATCAGAGTCTGGAGCATGTTCAAGGACACCACTGTCAGCGGCACCGATGCTATCCATGACGTCACCGAGTCAGTGGTAGATTTAGTCTGTGAAACAACAGCAGCAGCTCTCCCCAGAACTACAGTGAAATCACACCACAACCACAAAACCAAAACCATTGATCACCAGAATCATCCAGGGAGCCATAAACACACACGCTGCAGCCAGTCTGGAAACATGGTGAATTATAAAGCAGCAGCCAACGTTGTAGGACGAGGACTAAACTACAGAGCACGAGTCAAAGACGCTGACGAGATCGTATTTCACTGGAGTTTCACTTTGATTCCATGTGAAATAAATAATTGATTGATTGTTTTTTCTCCGCCATCTCTCTCTCTCTCTCTGCCCTCTGAGCAGCAGCTCTGACTTGTTCTTTGGAGGCAGAGTATTTAATTAGCAAATAAAATCACAAAATTGCCCCCAAAAAAAACAACAACCGGCCAGTGGATACGTGTGTCTAATTGCTCAACCTGAACTCACTGTATTCTGCTATAACACAAGCACTATCACCAGAATGTGCAGGTGGGAGCAACACTGTTCTGAGATGTAAGAGCTGTTACATGAATTTAGAAACTGCTTTTTTATCCTCCTCCATCTTTGTACCTGTGACATCCCTCCTGTTCAGTCACTGAGCTCTCATTGATGAGCAACAATAGGATTTATCTTAATTCATCTGTCAGCTGCTCGCAAATTAAACGTAGCATCAGCCTGATTAGCATGATTATGTATGCTATATGCATTTCAGACAGACAGACAGACAGACAGACGGGGTGCCTGATGTCATTCACTTCTGCAGTGTGAGTGTTTTCTGCACGAGACCTCGCATTTTATTGCCGCCTAATTACAGCCTGATTATGGAAATGAGGAAGCGGTAATTTAAAGTGTTAGAGAATGCTGCTTTTATAGAATAAAATAAATTATAAACTAGATCAATTACATTACAGAGGAGCAGACATATGCAGTGCACCAAATGAATTTGCATGTTAAGCAGCTGAGTTGAAGCGGGTGTTGTTCGACAGCAGGACGTTTTTGACACGTTTTTTTGTTGCTGTCACTCAAACACCCCGGGGCCTTTTGTTTACATGCTGCTATGCTTGTATGTGTGTGTGTGTGTGTGTGTGTGTGTGTGGGATTGCTTTTCTGCCTGCTGATTTGCATGATTCGCAGCTGCCCGCTAATGTTTTGGAGGTCAGCCGTTTGTCTCTCCCATGAGGGTCGGTCGTTGTGTTCAGGTTGTGCTCGGCTCTGAAACCTTCCTGGCGTTTTACAGCCTTATCAAACCAGCAGGCTTACCTTGAGTTTTATGTGTCTGAGGTACATTGCAGCTTCTGGCATTACCAAGGTGAGTGACCAGGACGTGTGTGTGTGTGTGTGTGTGTGTGTGTGTGTGTGTGTGTGTGTGTGTGAGAGAGAGAGAGCTTATTGAGCCCCAGCCAGCAGGGCCAAGATTATTCCCTGATTGCAGCCCACAAAGCATGACCAGGATTACTGAAGTCCATCCCAGCCTCAGTCTGGAGGACACACTGTGGTTAAGGATGAGATTGATTGGCAGATTTTCCTCAGCGGGAAGAAAAGGACAGTTTTGAAGAGCACCACGGGACAGACCTTTTGGTAGCGTACCTGCGATAGACGCCTTGTGACTTCAGGGGGTCTTGGAGGTGCAATAAAGTGTCTGTGTGTCTCCAGTTAAAGGACGGTGTCGATGCGAGTCTGTTGCTAAGCTACAAGATGGAAGATGATGGCACTAGAGTCATTAGTCTGCTGCGAGGCTGTCCACAGGGTGTTGTTGTAAGAGGCCTGAGGGTTATTATGTGGAAATATTGGTTTTTCAATTTGCATCGTCTCCAGGAGATAGCTTTGTGCGTCATAAGCAATTACAGTGTTGTCTTCCTTTGTGTTTGCTTGCTGTATCTATTACTCTTGGCTGGAACCCTCCAACACGGGATTTCACTCACACTCTGCGTCCTGCTCTGCTTTGTTTTGCCTTTCTCGCTGACATTTTGGGATTGATGCAAAAAGATCATCCTTCATGCTCAGTCCATCAATAAGCTATCAAGTGCAACTCAGAACGCACTTAAGGGGGCAATTTGGAGTCTTTCCTGTCAATCTTCAAACTGCATCTATGAATTACTGTAAAATGTTACAGGAAGCTGCATCTTAAAGATTTTTTTAACTGACTAGTTGCCAGGCCATGTTTCACTACATGTACAGTGTCATTAAGGTCCATATTCACCAAGCAACTCAGAGTCACTTCTACTGTAGGAACTGCAATGAGACTAAAAACACTTCCAGTGAGTGGTGTTGCTGTTACGACACACTCAGCTGTAAGGTTGGTGCCAGTGTAAAATTCTCTAAACTGGAACAGACACTCTGAGTGGAACGTCATGAGACTGAGGCATGGATGTATTAAGAGACTTGGATACAGAGATGGAGGCAGGTCCTCATTCAATACTATCAAAGTTAATCAGTGGCACATGAAGTCAAAAAAAGCTTGATTACGGCGGTATGAAGTTGCCCTGATCGTCCACATGGTGCAGCCCATACAGAAGGTGCACCAGAGACTTAAGCGGCCAAGCGGCTAACTTGTATTAGCCCTTCGCTAACTTAAATAGCAATTGAATAATTCAATCGTGCAGCTCTTCAAGACTTTCAAAATGTCATTGGACTGAATGGATCAAATCATCGGGCTTGTGACGCCCAAAAACATTTATCCACTGATTTACAGATGTCTCTTTCACAGTGTAAGTACATGGTAAAATGTCTTGTTGGGCCTGATGGCGTCATGTGACGGACCTGGAAGTTGGAATTCTATGGTCAAATTGGCTTTAAAGGGACAGTGCACCCAAAAATGTAAATCCAGCCATTATCTACTCACCCATATGTCGAGGGAGGCTCAGGTGAAGTTTTAGAGTCCTCACATCACTTGCAGAGATCCAAGGGGAGAGGAGGTAGCAACACAACTCCACCTAATGGAGGCTGACGGCGCCCCAGATTCAAACGTCCAAAAACACATCATTGAAACCACAAAATATCTCCATACTGCTCGTCCGTAGTGATCCAAGTGTCCTGAAGCCCCGACATAAAAAGTTGTTTGGAAAAACCTCATTTGAACTCTGTTTTTAGCCTCATTGTAGCCTGTAGCTCTGACTGCCTCTCTGTGCACCGCGTGAGACCAGCGAAAGCACGTGAACTCACATGAAGGCGGTGCCCATGTCTCACGGTCTCGTGCAAGCACACACACGTGAGCGCTGTGGACCAGCTGTGAGCACTTCCTTTCAGTCATGTGCTCTCGCAGGTCGAGGAAATGTCTCATCTAGTAGTTATCAGATAAACAGGAGCCAAAAAACAATCAGTTTGATTTGTTACTGCCAAACTTATTGATCTTTTACTGAGCTCATTGTCATCAACAAACATCTCTCCTGCCACCGAATTTATAAATAGGCAGAAAAATATTTTAAGGTAAAGAGTCACTTCAGTATTTTTATCCTGGACCCTCCTCTCAGCTATTTTTTAAACTGGTCCAGTACTGAGCAAGAGGGCTGCAGCCAGCAGTGGCGAACAAGGCTGCAACGTTACCACATTTATGCACCATCAACATACGTCCCCTAAAGTGCTCATTTTTGCCACTGACAGGCTCAGATTGTTACTGTAAGTGTTATAGAGAGGATCCCTACACAGATAGACCTTTTTGTTAAATAGCAAGATCTTTTTTTTCTTTTTTTTAACCAGAAGCAGCCCCGAAATCTCTACTGCCAAACCCACCAGACTCCATTTAAATAAACAGTCATTTTAACGTGTATATAGCCAGCATCATTTCACATCTAACTGGGTGTATTGAGGGTTTATTTCAACCAAACCATCATTTACTGTCTGTGATTTGGCGTTTGATCTCATTCTCCTCTTGGAAGGTTAGGAGCTTCCGGACCTCATTGTTTTCCCAATTTGTGGACATTTTCGGCCACTGTTCTTCTTTGAGTTAGCTGCTAACTGCTAACAGGTACTTTTTAAATCTCCCGCATATGCGTCGCACATGTAACACGTTGTCAGAACATCACACTCATCTCACCCATGGTCCCATCCTGCTGTCCTGTTTACAGACATTGTTTCGGCGCTGTTACTTCCTGTGATGCCAGCTTAAAGGCGAGACAACTCTGTCCGCCCATTCTGCAATTGTACCTTTGATACAGAACACCGTGGTGGCATAATGACATGAAAATTCAGCCTTGAAGCCTGATTGTATAAGTTGTCGAATATTTTTTGCGCACGCCATTTTTGGCTTTTGTCCGTACATACATTTTTAGTATTGATCCTACGCAGTGTTTTATACTCAGGGTTTATTTCAACCAAACCAGAGTTGGTGATGGTTGTAACGGTTGAAAGACAAACCAAGACAGGTTTTGTGAGTTTTTATTTGTTTCTGTAGACTTTTAATGAAGTGTGTTTTACGCTGATAAAATTACTGTTTTTTTTTTTAAACAGATTCTGGTGGGTTTGGCGATAGCCTTTTCAGGACGGTTCCTGGTTAAACAAAAAGGATCTTACTCTTGAACACAAAGATCTATCTCTGTAGGGATCCTTTCATAATGTCGTCCAACACTTACAATACCAATCCGAGCCTGTCAGGGCAAAACACTGTAATTTGACAGTTGAAACATGCCTGAGTGTTAACATTGCAGTCTGTTTCACCACTGCTGTCTGTATCCCTCTTGCTCTGTACTGGACTAATTACAAAAACTGGTGTTTCCATCAGACACAAAACATGTGACAACAGGGTCCAGACTAAAAGAGTTGCAAACTTTTCCTTTAAGAAGGTTGCTACAATTCCTTTGCTCCTCATCCTAAAACTTAAACATAATATGTATATATCCTTTTTCCAGTTAGGACTGATTTCCTGCCCTGAGATACCTGATCCTGACAGGCCCAGGTCTGTATCTGTTCTCTTATGTGTTCATAGAGGGAGATGGTGTATGCACCTCAGGACTCTCCGCCTAACCGCCGCCTCAGCAACCCGCCCATGTCTTCCCAGCATTCATCTTCCTCTGCCTCCCCTCAAGGCTCGCCGTCCCGCGCCCGCCTCCTCTACAGCGGCGGCAGGCCTTCTTCCTACGCCGGGCCACCGCACCACACCCACTCCCTGCCGCACCCACACCAACACCCGCACTCCCAGTCCCACCACTCCTCTCCCCACCAGCAGCCACAGCTCCACCAGCCCCATCACACCCAGCAGGCCTTCTGTGCCTCTTCCAGCGCCATCCTGGAGCGCAGGGACGTGAAGCCTGATGATGAATTGGGAGGATCCAGGAGCATGGTGCTGCTGCGGGGAGACGAACGAGGAGGAGGCGGCATCTACGCAGACCCCTACTCTCTGGGCCCCGACACAAGTCGGCTGAGTCTCGCAGGAGGGCCTCACTCCCCTCTGCCAGCCAGAGCAGACCCTTATGGCTCCTTATACCGCCGTGGAGGAGGCGGAGGAGGAGGAGGAGGAGGAGGAGGAGGAGGTGCTGGATCCATGCGTTCACTCACCTCCTATTCAGCAGCCGCTTTACAAGGAGAGCTGATGGAGACCAGTGCTCTGTACAGACCAGGAGGACCACTTTATAACGACGCCTACGCTGCATCAATGCTGGCCATGGGGCTGCGGGTGCCTCCACCTTCCTCCCCACAGAAGATACCCGACATGAGGGAGTCCTATGCTGGCACCATGCCCAGCCGGGGCTCCCCTGGGAGGCAGAGTTTGAGGAGGGACTCTGTCACCTCCTCTGTGTTTGGGGACAGTCCCAAAGCTCGGGGCCAGGGCTCAGCGCTCGGTCTCACCTCAGAGCAGCTCTGCCTGATGGCCGGTCCTGGAGGGGAGGGAGGGAGCGCCGGAGGCTTCGGCTCCCCTCTGCTGGGAAATGAAACGGAGACAAGGTAGGACATATTTCTCAACACATACTTCTGTGTGCAATCTGCAGTCTTCATTCATACTAGATGCCACAAAATAAATCTTAGACACTGGACCTTTAAGTATGTTCATGTGCACATGTATGCACTTATGCACACACCATAGGCGTATTTATCTGGATGTGTGATGGTTATTTCAGCACTCAGCACACCTACACGTTGCACCTTTCCCTCCATGGGCAACGCCTTAGCAGAAGAAAAATTATGTTTTATCTCCCAGTATCCACCAAAGCATAGTATATTTGAAAACTGTATGATAACACTGTAACACAGGACCAGCTGCACAGTCCATGGATCAAAAGCTCTGGCAGATGGTAGGCAAAGGTCCCCTCCTGAGCAGCCTGTTTCACATAGCTGTGACCAGTGTTGCCTCAGTGAAGTAGGTCACAATGGTGCTACGTCTTACTTGGAGCTGCTGCTCATGTTTGGCCATCTCAGTATAATTTTCTACATCAGCATTTTCACCATGTGCGACCGAAATGTGCTCCTGGAGTGTGTGCAGAACACGGCAGTTGTGCTGCCAAGTATTTTACGAATGAAGGAGTGAGCTCTTTATGTAGACTTGTGACACTCGGCTGCAAAGCATGACCATCTCAATCAAACTGGGACTTGTGGTCACCATAACTTAGCAGGCTGTGCAGCTGTCAGAAACTTGAACGATGAGTTTAGACAGTTTATTCAGATGCACCATCGTCTCCTGACTCAAAGCTGGCTGCAGATCTTTTTCAGTAAAGCACTTTATACTACATCAGAGCAGGGTGGTATAAGATTGGCTGGTGTCACCGTATTGATTTGACTGATTCCTCAGTTTTGGGCTCTCAGCACTTTAAAGACAGTTTGCTGTTGGTCAAAGGTACAAACTCATGGGTCAGATTTCGCCGCTGCCAAAGCTCAGGGTGGATTTACTTCACTGATTCGGCAATTCCAATGAAATAAATTGATTTCTGTCTGAAATGTATAAATGCTGGTGTGAGTCAACCTCTGGTGCTCCTAACAGCAGTGTAGTGTTGAGAGTGAAACTATAATCCTGGCTGGTCAATACTAAAAACTATGAGTCGTTATCCGTGAGCTGTTTTATCGATACAACGGTGAATCTTGAAGCGGGGATGAAAGTGATACCAGTCACACACACACACTTCCTTCATTCCTTCCACGTACAAATGGAGCTTGAAAGTTGGAACATGGCGGGAGCACTGGGACAGTTTATAGTATTTATTATGCATTATGTAATTATGATAAAGTATTCTGTGTATCTCTGGTGTGTGAATCCAGGGAGCGTATGGAGGCCATGGAGAAGCAGATAGCGAGCCTGACCGGGCTGCTGCAGAGAGTACTGAGCAGAGCGCCCGAGGCAGAGAGCCCGTAAGACACACACACACACACACACACACTGAAAACACACTTTATATACAGACCATATTCCACACAGGGCACTATAAATACTTAACATCTCCAAACGATCAAACACATCCAGTACAACATTTATACCATATTCCACTGCCTTCAGAACAAGAGAATAATGGAAAAATACACCAAATAAAAGTGATCATACCAAAAATGACTCGTAGGCATCAGTGATACAGGAAAAATATTATCATTCATGTCCAGAATCTTAATTTAATGCCCACTGCTCTTTAGGGTTGGGAATCATGTGTTTTTTTTCTGATACAGGTGCCGAACCGATACTTTTAAAACGGTACCGGTGCTTAAACGGTGCCTGAACCGATACCTCAAAATATGAGTTTTTTATGGAGGTTGAAAAGTGGCACAAATGAGCCACCTTTCAGAGGTGTGTGAGTGTTTTGTTTAACAGTTTTAAGTTATAATAAAAACAATGTTTTTATTTATTTATTGCTGAGGCAAATTAGAAATACCTAGAAATAAATATATGAACTCTGTTAACAGTTTTAGAATATAATAAAAAAAACACTTAACAATTAACATTACAATAATATTAACTCTATTAAAGTCCGGTCTCTGTCGGCAGCCCAGGCTCCGCAAATGGCAACAAAAACATTTGGGTCCAGGCTGCACCAACCAGCCAGCGCGAGACCAGCGAAAGCAAGCACACACACATGAAGGCGGTGCCCATCTAGCTCCGTTGTGTTTGATAACATTGTTGAATGTAAACGGAAGTGACGCCCAACGGTGCTTAGCGTGCCTTTAAATACTAATATATACTCAACAAATGAACGAATGAATGAATGAATGATTCTGTTACGTGTAACGTCCAATAGAGGGAGACATAGCATTAAAAAAAGCACTGAAAGGAGGCACCATAATATGCGTTTTGTTTCGGTCCGGTAGGTATCGATCGTATAGGTACCGGGTCCATATAAGCACCGACTTTCGGTACCCAACCCTACTGCTGTCGATCATGGAGAACAGAGGTTCCAAATTGTTTTGCCAGGGCGTCAGTTGGTCCTTTAAAAAGTGTTTTTAATTCCTTTTTATACAAACTAGGCTTTAAAAGTCATTGAATAGTCTTTAATTTGAATTTTGGAGCCCTTAATTGCTACATATGACTTTGCTGACTACTGACATAATATTCTAATAATCTTTTTAACATTTGGTTAAAAATGATCCTGAAGAAGTCTCAGGAAGAATTCAATATAAGCGGGACAGTAAAACTGGTGAAACTGGTAGAGAACAAGGTCGATGTCGAGAGTGTTGCTGTTAGAGATTAAAATGTTTTTTACTTCTTGCCGTCCTCTACGATGGAATTTGCAACCAGATGTTTTGTAGCTCCTTCACACAAGAGAAAACACAGGTGATCTGGACACCACTGGAGTAATTCCATAAAATAAACAGGAAATATTTGAGTTTAATATATTTTATTCCATTCCTTGTAGGAATATCAGTGTTGTGTGCCTTCAGCAGCCCTACACCATTAAACCTGTAACTTATGGGTTCATTCTGAACACAAGAGGCCTTTCCTTTCAGTTTGGCGCTCTGTTGACTCTGTTGACTTAGCTGTAGCGCTGCATTTTGAATTCAGAGGTTGTGACATTTTGATGTCTTGTGATGTAAATGTCTGTTCTGTTGGCTTTGCTCACAGATGGTCAGCTAGCTGCGTTGGTCCATGTACTTCGCAGCCATTTGTTTTTCATTTCGAAATAACAAATTGAAACATGCAAAACCAACCATTACCTGTTTTTTGTTTTGAAATGACCAAACGAAAAAGGAAAAAAACGATCCGTCTGCCGTTTTTTATTTAATAATAAAGAAAAGAAAAACGAATCGTTATGTTATCTGTTAGCCGATTTAATTTGGGAATTTAAAAAAACCCTGTGGGAAACTCCTTTCCCTATTTTTTGTTCGTTTCTTCTGCGCCCAGTAAGTTGCATTCATGTGGTCTATGAAATGTACATACAGAGCATGTGCATTTCCTTTAACTACTGGAATATTGCTTTATCTGACATGTTATGCTAATAAATAACTTTTCTAACTAATCTAGGTCACTCTACATGGACAGCAACTAACGGCATACCATATTACACATCTGCAAAAAATGATATGCAATACGTGAATTAATAAAAAGTTTTATTACCATGGACCAAACTGTTACGTGCCAGACAAGGAAGCCAGGACCCAGTTGCAGAGTTAAGTTCAAAAAACAGTTTATTTACAAAGTAGCAACAAAAAAATCAGTTCACAGAAAAGTACAAGCAAACAAAATATCAACCAAAACTCTTTCTGAGGGAAAAGTAACAACAGAAAAGGCTAAACTGAAAATCACCATAAACATGGGAAAAAGAGCAAGAACAAAAGTACAACAAAAAGTGACAAGGCACAAAACTCACTGAACCTGGAGACCAAACACTGGAGCATAAACACGTGGCGAGAGGCAGGAGATCACTGAGAGCACGAGCGTAATGCTAGAGCAAAGAGAATAATCCAGCACTGGAGACAAAGAGAGTGTGGCTTAAGAAGCCGGCTAATTAGGCAGAACGAGCTGCAGGTGTGCCGGGAGCCCCGTGCTCCCAGAGATCGCCCCGCCCCTCGGCACTCACTCTGCAGGGAGAGGGAGAGAAGGATCAGATAGCAGCAAACACAGTTTCACAGAAAATCAGGACCACAACACAAACTTTCCTTTTCGTCCGCCAGTTTTCTGTGAATGTGACGTCAATTTCAGTCAAGTCGGCAACTCCTGTTCCAAAATTATCTCTGAGTTGTTTTTCCGACATGAGCGGGTGTTCATGTGTATTTTCCCAGTCGGAAAGTCATTTTTCCGATTATTCCGACACCACATGAATGCAACTTACTGGTCACAGAGAAGAAACGAACAAAATATAGAGAAAGGAGTTTCCCACAGGGTTTTTTTTTTTAATTCCCAAATTAAATCGGATAACAGATAATGGATAACGATTCGTTTTCCGTTTTTATTTTCTTTATTATCAAATAAAAAATGGGAGATGGATCGTTTTTTTCCTTTTTCGTTTGGTCATTTCAAAACAAAAAACGGATAATTGTTGATTTTCCGTGTTTCAATTTGTTATTTCGAAACAAAAAATGAATGGCCGCGAAATACACGGACCTGCGTTTCCATGTGTCAACATAGCGCCCCCTGCCCACCCTCTAGTCTCCACGGGTTAGCTTACTTTAGCCTTGGCCGCCAAAACACGACTTTAACCAAGAGATCCCTTTGTGGTAGAAAGGCCCAGAGGAAAATTTCTCCCAACTGCATATCATCCGCATCAGACGGGAGCTAATTTGGCTAGCGGCGCTGCTCACGTGCGAGTAACGCTGGTAGCGCCGGTCCTAGTAGCTGTGGACAAACACCTCAGGTCTCCTCAGGTGGGTAAGTGGCTTCGCTTTGAGCCGCAAAGCCCCTTTAGCATTGTTAACTATGTTAGCATCATTGGCCATGCTAACACTGCTAACACAGCTAACAGTGATGCTACAGGGGTTTGCCTGTCAACACTAAGCTGCTTACTCACTAACTTGACCTGAGGGGAGAGACCGGAGGGTGGGCGCAGTTTTTCCACAGCAATGTTGGGTCAGGATGGTGTTACTGGCGGTAATCGCTGAATGAGTGGTGTTGCCACCTTCCTCCCACCGGACCCAGCTGGTTCACAGTGCAGAGCAGCTAATGCTAGCTAACCAGTGGAGGCCGGAGGGGCGGGCACTATGTTTCCACAGGGTAACGATGTCTGTCTTCACACAGACACAAAAATATTCTCGACAGTTAACCAGTTAATGGTTAGTCTTTAATGTCCCTAATCTCTTGTAAACAACACGGCATCACCATGGAAACATATCGCCATGCATGTTTCGTTTTACTGTCCCGTCATGAGAGAGGAGGCGTAGGCATACTTTGTCGTGCAGAACACAGTTATCAATCTTGATTGCCGCCATTTCCGTGGCCTGTTGTTGTCCTACTGCCTTCAAGGACCTTGGGGAAACTAGCACAACATCCATTGAGTTCCTTGCTTTAGGAGACAGGGTGGAGTGCCGTATCCCCCTCTACGTCACCGAGTGTCAGAGTGGATGGGGGCTGACTTTGTTGATAAGGTGTGAACAGCGTGGGTGCTCCTCAGTTTCAGTCGGCAAAGTGTCTCTAAGTCCCCCGGTGTGTCCTTGACTCAATGATTCTGATCATTTTAAATAATATTAATAAAAAGAAAAAGATTTTATGTCATGATAGTTTTAATAAAAGAATCAGAAAACTTTTCACAGGCCCTGCTTTGAGAATCACTGCTGTAAGTGAACAAGCAAGTGATGTCAGACACACACACACACACACACACACACACACACACTTAAAAAAGCTGCCAGCAGCACATACAGTATATTTCCCACATTTTCCCACCATATATCAATAGCTTCTCAGTAGCTAAGTCGATGGTGTGTTCTGGCTGTAAATACTGTAACACTTGCCTCTTCCAGGGAGAAGATTGAGTCAGCCAGTGACTGCTCAGGAACTGACAGTAAGTGCTTCCTACTAAAAAAAAAAAAAAAAAAAAAAAAGAGACAAACTATTTCCTATCACTGCCTGTCACTGCTCCCCTCTGCTGCCTGTTTGATAGCCACATAAATTGGCTCTTCTTCCTCACAGAGCTGCTGCTATTTCATTTTCTCTGCATAATTCTTAAAGTGCCTCATATGTGATCGTAATGGCTGACTCTGCAAGCTTCTTCATACTGTGTGTGTGTGTGCCGGCTTTTTGCTGCTGTGTAACTGCTGCTCATGCTTCTTGTTTTAGCTGGACGAACTAAAAAAAAGAAAGGTAGCTATGTGTTCCTGAAGTGTCTGGTACCTGTTCCCCCGTGTGCACCCCACTGTGGTCTCTAGTCTTTATTTGGATCCCTGTTAGCTTCCAAACAGTGTGTGTGTGTCGTCCTGAAGGATTTACCTCCCTCTCAGCAGGTGTCCTTCACTGTCCCTTCCTTCCCTGTTGTCGTGAGTAAAACAATCATCTGAGTTGCATTAATGCTGGAACAGAAATATGTTGTGAGATGACGAGATGATCCATGTTCAGAACGCCCAGTGAGCATCTGAGCATGTGTTTTGATGAAGCTGCATGTTTTCAAAGGTGAATAAGAGCAGAATAGAGTTCTTGTAATTAGGGATGCACTGATTTACCTGACAATATTCGCCCTGCTGACTCCCATCAACCTGTTGGCACATAAGTTGACACTCACCATCAGCAGTGGCCGATGTTTTTCTGTTGTTGCACATCACTTGCAGGCTAAAAATCAGGGCTTGAGACAATAGAAAACATATTCAGAATGAACAGAGATCTTCCCCCAGATACCTTCAGGAGAGAAGGATGCAGTAAACTCACCATCGAACAGGAACTCACCATGATGATGCTTTATTGTAAACAACTAAGAGGTACTGACATCGTCAGGAAGAGAGCTAGTTAGCATTAGCTGTTAGCAGCCAATTGGCACCATCAATTTATAAAACTAACAAGATGCCAAATATCAAGATGGCACCTAACCAATCTTATGGAGTCAAACCTGACATCGTCATGACAGATTTTTACAGGGTTCCCACGGTCTGGGAAAACCTGAAAAAGTCATGGAATTTTACAGTTATGTTTTCCAGGCCTGGAAATGTTATTAAATTATTCAACATTGGCCAATTATTACATCAATTGGCCAAAGGGGGGCGCTATAGCAACCCATTGAAATGTCAAACTTTGAATGGGCATATCTCATGCCCCGTATGTGGTAGAGACATGAAACTTTGCACAGAGATGCCTCTCCTCATGAGGAACACATTTGCCTCAAGAACCCATAACTTCCGCTTATATAGATTTTCCACCATTTTGAATTTTTTGAAAAACACTTCAAATGGATCTCTTCCTAGGAAGTTTGAGCGATCTGCATGAAACTGGGTGAACATAATCTAGGGACCAATATCTAAAGTTCCCTCTTGGCAAAAGTTGGAAAACTTACTAAAACTGAGCTTCTATAAGCTCTCGCTGTGGCTCCCCCTGTGGACCAATGTCTAATGTTTGGTATGACTAAGTCATGGTATGGTATGCTGCTGCAACAAGGGCTAGCTGTACCTTTCCCATGTGAACTACCAGTGCGCCCCACTTTGAAGTCAATACAACATATAAACACTTTAACTATCTGCCTTTCAACGTGCTGCCTCAACTACCAATGTACAGTTTTAGCCCACTAACTATCCCACTATTGGCAATGGTACTACTGTACTTTCAATAAAGCAATCGTACTATCAGATTCACAAACACTCTGTCTGAATACATTGCTCTTCTTAATGGGTTCAGTTGACTATTTAATCTGCAATTTCCTATGATCTGTATCCCAAACACACACCATGTGAAACTGTACGTGGGCAACTGTGCACTCAATGGGTACGGACTAGTACAGTAATATTCTGTGGATAATCCTCCACGTAATGTAACATCACGGCAAATTTATTTTCTTTAGCTTAAGCTTAATATAGTTTTAATTTGCATCAACATGTGACAACGTTTTGTTTCCATTTGAGTCCTTTTCGTCGTTGTCTCCCTGGGTTCATCTCTCCCTTCATGTGTGCCAGCTCGCTGAAATTATATTTGAAACAGATCTGTTTAAAAATGGTGGATGAATTGGGCAAGTAAAAAAAAAAATCCTGGGAAAGTTTGGAAATTTTGTGCATGAAAATGTGTGGGAACCCTGTTTTTGAATGTCTTCTCTTTGCTTGAGGAACATTTTATAAATATAAAACCACCATGGATCAAAACTTTATAATAGACAGATTCAAAATTGACCTTGTTTACAGTTCGAGTTGGTCCGTCAACAGTTTGACAGACGTCTCTAATACAGTGGTGGTCTATGGGAAAAATGATTTTCGGGCTGCAGAGATTTGTTTGCGACAATACTGCGAGACTGAGTGGCGTTCCCGGGAACCTAGTTGGGAGAGAACAGGGATCTTCCCAGGACGACTTTGGGACAAAAGGACGCGGTAAACTCACAATCAACGTGTCCCTGATAATGCTGCATTGTGATCAACAAATTCATGTTGAGATCAGCAGAAGGAGAGCTAGTTAACTTTAGCTGTTAGCCGTTAGCAGCTGGCGGCTGCAGCTCACAGCTATCGGAGGTTTCATTGAGTTACATTATGATACAAATCAAATATTGGATGAAGGTAAATTTTAATCTTTTAAATGTAGTTTTTTTCGAGAAACTTGAATGAATTCAGCAGTTTGAAGGAAATTAGTCGATGTCTTCACAATGTAAAATAGAGTAGAGAGAAAATTATATATTATATATAGTGAAAAGAATTTTAAAGCTGTTTCTAATGTGAAAGAAGGATATAATAAAAGTTGTTTTATTTATCTGTATTATTGAATTTGTGCTCATTCAGAGGTTGTGAAGGACTGAATGACTAAAACAGTTCAGTTATTCTTTTATAATGACGACTGATGAACAACAAAAGAAAATAAACAACAAGAACAAAAAAACAGAATCAGCCAAAGTGTTATTTTAAACACTGGTATCGGCCCATCGGTGCATTCCTAATTCCTTTAGATAAAGTGTTGAGTTTGAGCTGCTGTGTCTCAGATTTAAAGTATCCAAGAGCATTATCATTGGAAACATTTCATCTTATGTCAAATTAAAGATGAGCGTGAGCATTTTTAATCTGCTGTAAATTAGAATGGATTTTTCTTTGGAGTCGTTTTGTTTGTTGAACATTTATTTCTGCTGTAATTTTAGAGAATTTTCTGAGTGACTGTTTACGTCTCTATCTCTGTCCTGTTTAGATTAGAACAATCAAGGTGTATATTTAGTGTATATTTTACTCCGATAGACTCAGACTGTTTTTGTGCAGTGAAACACAGGACTTATTATTCTTAACTGGTGAGGCAGCAGAAAGTCATTTGGGTAACGACGACTGTCAGACGCTCCTCTAAAGCCGTCCTGAATTATGGTTATATATACTCAGAAACTCCCCCAGTGGCTGCAGATCTCAGGGTCAGGGTTTCTAGGACACACAGTGCAGCTGAAGTGGGAAGTTGTCACCTCGTCTGCGGAGGTGTTGGAGGGGTTGAGATGTTACTTTCAGCCAACATGTTGTTGTGTTGCTGAGTCCAGACTTTGAAGTGGCTTTAAAATGCAACTCCTCAATCCGTTATCGATTGATTGTCTTGTAGTTATTTTCCCTCTGTCTCATTTTGCATGATGCGTGTGACTCAACACCCTAATTACTGTCAGAGCGAAGCATTCATCGTCATTTCAAAGGATTATCTGAGTTGGAAACACTCATGCATTTGGGCTGTCTGGGGACTCTTATAATGAGAAACTTGGATGTAGTGGAAATGCTGTTTTTCACTGCTGATCCCGTTTGTCCCTGAAGCCTTTCCATGCTGTTCATCATTGTTAAGTCTACGTAAGACTGTAATCTCCACCCTTGACCTACAGCACAGATAGAACTTGTCCTGAATTGCTGCTGCCAAATCCTGGAACAACCAATATCCAGTCAAACAAAATTGTTTTTCTACTGGATGGATATCTGAGGTCATGAGACTGTTTGGGGATTTGTCTTCTAAAGATGGAGCTCTCTCTGATGCTCTATGAACGGTTCTTTAATTTCTCCCTCAAGCATTCATTTAAAACCTTTTGATTTGCCAACAGTGTTTTGGGACAACTTCTATTAGTGCCGCTGTGCTTTAAAGGAACCCAGAACAAAGCGCAGAGAACATCCTCTGAATTTAAATCCTGCTTTTTCCACTGGGCAGCTTTGACACCATCTGCTCCCTTGGCCCTGATGCCACCTCCACCCTCGGGGGCCAACCAGCCTGTGACGGTGTCCCGTCTGCAGATGCAGCTCCACTTACAAGGCCTGCAGCAGAACACCAACGCGCTGCGCAAACAACTGTCGCAGCTGCGCAACATGCAGGTGTGTGTGTGACTGGGACGGAAACAGCAGTTTAATTTTGTGTGTGTGCAGTGAACACCAATATACACTCAGGAGCAAATTTACAAAGATTAGATTGCAGCTACTGAAGCACCATGAATTGCACATCATTTGCTATCTGCTCCGTCTCAAGGGCCGACTCACAAAAGATATTGTGCTGGTGATGTTACAGTGCTAAAACACGCCCGTAAAGTTTTGCAGATGAGCCGTCTGGCCTTTTTTATGTCTGATTGCAATTAACAATGTGGCAGAGTTTAAATGTCGCCTCAACAGTCAGCAGAACAAAAACAGAGAGAAAAGGAAAACTGAATTTTCAGGCCTCGAGCTGCAGGTCCTGACCGATGAGGTGCAGGTTCTGACTGATGAGGTGCAGGTCCTGACCGATGAGGTGCAGGTTCTGACTGATGAGGTGCAGGTCCTGACTGATGAGGTGCAGGTCCTGACTGATGAGGTGCAGGTTCTGACTGATGAGGTGCAGGTCCTGACTGATGAGGTGCAGGTTCTGACTGATGAGGTGCAGGTCCTGACTGATGAGGTGCAGGTCCTGACTGATGAGGTGCAGGTCCTGACTGATGAGGTGCAGGTCCTGACTGATGAGGTGCAGGTTCTGACTGATGAGGTGCAGGTCCTGACTGATGAGGTGCAGGTTCTGACTGATGAGGTGCAGGTCCTGACTGATGAGGTGCAGGTCCTGACTGATGAGGTGCAGGTCCTGACTGATGAGGTGCAGGTCCTGACTGATGAGGTGCAGGTCCTGACTGATGAGGTGCAGGTCCTGACTGATGAGGTGCAGGTCCTGACTGATGAGGTGCAGGTCCTGACTGATGAGGTGCAGGTCCTGACTGATGAGGTGCAGGTCCTGACTGATGAGGTGCAGGTCCTGACTGATGAGGTGCAGGTCCTGACTGATGAGGTGCAGGTCCTGACTGATGAGGTGCAGGTCCTGACTGATGAGGTGCAGGTCCTGACTGATGAGGTGCAGGTCCTGACTGATGAGGTGCAGGTCCTGACTGATGAGGTGCAGGTCCTGACTGATGAGGTGCAGGTCCTGACTGATGAGGTGCAGGTCCTGACTGATGAGGTGCAGGTCCTGACTGATGAGGTGCAGGTCCTGACTGATGAGGTGCAGGTCCTGACTGATGAGGTGCAGGTCCTGACTGATGAGGTGCAGGTTCTGACTGATGAGGTGCAGGTCCTGACCGATGAGGTGCAGGTCCTGACTGATGAGGTGCAGGTTCTGACTGATGAGGTGCAGGTTCTGACTGATGAGGTGCAGGTCCTGACTGATGAGGTGCAGGTTCTGACCGATGAGGTGCAGGTTCTGACCGATGAGGTGCAGGTTCTGACCGATGAGGTGCAGGTTCTGACTGATGAGGTGCAGGTCCTGACTGATGAGGTGCAGGTCCTGACCGATGAGGTGCAGGTTCTGACCGATGAGGTGCAGAGGCATTCCTTGAAACTTCAGGCAAAAATTAAAACATGACAGAGGGAAACTATATTTGGGATTTAATATCTCAGTCTGTCAGTGCACTACAGTTCCCACCAACTCTGAAGAAGCTGATAACGTCACTGTAGCTGTGTGAGGCTGTTTTTGCAGCGAGGCTCATTCACATCAAAAGGGACAATTTTGCACCAAATGTATGAATATTACCTGATTTATGAAGAAGAAGAAGAAGAAGAAGAAGAAGAAGAGATATACTTTATTAATCCCTGAGGGGGAATTTGTTTTCACTGTAATACACACACGCCCAAAATACACACACACATGCACAAACAGGACCTACACATGTATTAAATGGAGAGATGTCAGAGTGAGGGGGCTGCCTTGGACAGGCGCCCCGAGCAGTTGGGGGTTTGGTACCTTGCTCAAGGGCACCCTGGCAGTGCCCAGGAAGTGAGCTGGCACCTCTCCAGCCACCTGTCCACGCTCCATACTTGGTCCGGACGGGGACTTTGTGGGTGCTTTAAGAATTTAAGAATTCTTTTTGACTTACTGCAGCTGCAAACGTCACACTGTCCTTTTGTGATTTCACCCCTCTGTTACCAGTTAATAGGTTGAACTTGAATTGACGCATTCTCATATTACAAACAGCTGCGACTGACTCGTACCATGACCAACTACAGTCGTCTCCAGTCCCTTGCTACTGAGCTCTCACATTAGTGATATCGTTCTGTAGCCGTGTGCTCACGTCCTGCAGGCAGCAGCGGGCTGTGCTAACGTCTGATACAGAGGCATCAGTGTTAAAATTAGACGGTTTCATAACCAGTTAAAAACTCCACTTCGTGTTTTAGTGCAGTTAGTTTTCACACCTGATGCGCACTGCACCAGAGTACACATGAACCGTGCCTGAGAAAACCTTTTCAACTGGAACTGGGCGCCAACATGGGCACCGTGCCTGTGTACAGTACACAGTGTTCACACTTGGATCTGGGCCCAGACTTTGTTTGTGTTACTAAACTAAAGTCCGTAAAGTTCCAATGCTAAATACCCCAAAGTAAAAAGGTAACACACACACACACACACACACACACACACACACACACATTTCTTCAGGACAGGGTTGACTAGCCCTTTATGTAAAGCACCTTGGGCTGTGTCTAATGTCTGAGAGGTTCTATAATATGATTGAATCAACAGCTCTCCAACTACAACTGAACATTTTAACCTTTATCGAGTCAAAGTGATTGTTGTGTTAAAAACAGTGTCAAACGACGGGCAGGTAAAACTAACCAGGTGTGTTGGTGTCCCAGCTGGAGAACCAGGACTCAGTGTTGTCCCTGCTGAGGCAGACGGAGTCCGAGCTGAGCCTCATGATGCTGGACGCCATGCGCACACAGGAGGACCCGCTCCAGAGACAGCGCCTCCTGGTGGAGGAGGAGAGACTCAAGTACCTGAACCAGGAGGAGCTGCTCATCCAGCAGCTGCAGTGAGTTCAGAGCGCCACTGGTTTATCTAACGAGCACATTAAATCAAAAGGTCATATGTCTGCTGGTGTGGAGAACACACAGGGACAGCACTGAGTCAATCTGTGACCTGCACCTCCACAGTGACCTGGAGAAGTCGGTGGAGGAGCTGCAGAGGAACTCGTCGGTGAATCACGGCCTGGTGACGGAGCAGGATGTGGAGCAGAAGAGCAAAGAGCTGAGGATGCTGGGTGAGACGCTCACTGAGCTCAAAAGTAAGTGCTGGTTTCACCTCCTGTGTGTGTTTTAGAGATTATTGAGGCGCTTTAGTCATTTTGCACGTTTGTTTCCGTCAGTGTCGGTGCTGGTACCCTTAAATTGCATCAAATTTAAGAGCAGCTGGTCTCAGAGAGTCCAACTACTGCCTGGTGTACACCCCCCCCCCCCACCACCACCACCACCTCTAATCCTCTGACTGCCTGACCCTCCCTGTGTCCAAGGATATTCGTTTATTTAAACAAGTCTGGGCTTTTTAATGGTTCTTTATTATATTTTTCATTTTAATAACCACTGTATGTGAACACATGAATGATTCAGACCTGCAGCACTGGATCTGAAATAATAAACTGCTGTGAAACAACACGACCCTCATCCATTTCACATCAGCATCAGTTCTGAGCTCATTTTGGTGAAAGTAACACAAAAGTAGTGTAATAAGTAACTGATTACTCTACACAATTAGTAACTTATTACTTTCAAATGAAGGTAACTAGTTATATGTAATTTCTTACAATTTGAGAGGAACATCCCCAAAACTGAACTGAATAACGGCCAATCCCAATTCTCTTCCTTTTTTTCAAGTTTCAAGCACACTCGTCAGACAGATTCCCCTCAACGACGAAGGGGTAGTGTTGAGGGGAATTTCACCTACGAATTGAGACGCCACTTTATGCAAATTAGCGTAACAGACGTGTTCACCTACGCCACGCGCATCGTCAACATAGGCTTCTTGCACGGAGAACTCTGTAGATGTTAATGTCAGCTACATCGTGAATTAGCAATTTTCAAGCGTTCATATTCTAACTCAACGCTAACAGATAATAATGCATATGCAGAAACAACACATTCAGACATATTTTGGAAGTTTTGCATGCTTATTTGGGAAAATAGTACTTATAATTGTGCGATGGCTTTTTCATGGAGGTTGCCATCTTCCTGGAACTCACCTGGCGGGATGGTTTCACAATGTTGAGATGGGTTCGTAAGTGTGCATCGCACGGCCCTTCAAATTAAGTGGGGATTTTAAGGGTTGAAAACCACTTCCCTAAAGTTTGGGACACCTTAGCCCTTCACAGGAGCATGCAAAAACAAAGGCTAGGGCCAATTTTGAGGGGAAGTGTGAGTTTTGGGACGGAGCCTAAGTCTTCACCCAGCAGTTGAGAAACAAAACACTGGAACTTTATGTATGTCTTTAGGAGCTGCAGTGTTTATTCGTGTCAAACTGAAACCTAAATCCATGCATTTACTACGACTTCATAACTTTACTGCTAAATTCCTCTGTGCTCCGATCACTAACACCTTCCTGCTCCGAGCACATCTCTCTTTCTCGTCTCTCTTGCTGACCCACATACACACTGTGCACTGAGCTCAGCAGGGTGGAGGTGTGGAAAGATGACGAGAGTCTCTCTTCATCTTCTCCATCCTTCAGTCTTTTCTCTGCCACATCTGTTGACCCCATATTTTCAAAAACAAACACTGTGTGACTTGTGTCATAAAACTGTATGGTTGTGTAGCCTTGCACATTTTTAAGTGTGTATATAGAAATCCTGGAGCTTTGTCTTTGTGAGTCTACGACATATACCTGTGTATCACGTACACTTCAGCAGTGGTGGTTCTGAAGTACTCAACGTCCAGTCTCTGAAAAGCTTGCCAAATCAGATCATGTTTTTTTGTAGGTGTTTCTCGCGGTCTTGGTGTCTTAATGTGGAATTTTAGAGGTTTTTTTGATCATTTGTATCAGTTCTCAATTGTGTGAAAGTTTTGTCCCCATGTCCATAGTTCCTGGTGGCTGGCCTGTAGTTTTAAGTACCGGGGACCAGTTACACAAAACATCTGAAGTTTTCTCCCTAAGTATGACACTTAAGACTTAGGGCCTAATCTAATACCCACACTTCCCCTAGAAATACCCACTTGCACTTGGTTGTGTGTGTTCATGTTTAGGCTTGTGGTGTCCCAAAACATAAGTGAGGTAGTGGAAGAGGTTTCCAACACTTAAAACCCGCCCTAGATTCCAAGGGAGCCCCGACCCACACTTCCAACAAAATGGAAGATGAAACACCTTGTGAAGCCAGCAACTTCAGCAAGTTTTGGAAAACAGTTTGTTACTGTACGATCAGAATGTAGGCGATACAAACAACAGATGGCTGGACTAACATAAACTCATCAGCAACTCAGTTGAACACTGCGTCACAATATTTAAACAAATCGACTTACCCGAACAACATTTATTATGCTGATCTGTTCTGTACGACATCTATTGCACGTCTGTCCGTCCTGGAAGAGGGATCCCTCCTCAGTTGCTCTTCCTGAGCTTTCTACCGTTTTTTTTCCCTGTTAAAGGGTTTTTTTGGGGAGTTTTTCCTGATCAGCTGTGAGGGTCATAAGGACAGAGGGATGTCGTATGCTGTAAAGCCCTGTGAGGCAAATTGTGATTTGTGATATTGGGCTTTATAAATAAAATTGATTGATTGATTGATTGACAAAATCGATCAGAACTGGAAGACATCGTCGGCGCCTCCTGTTTTCAGCATTTCTTCTCCGTTGATTCATCAGACGGAGAAGAATAAACAGAGCACACGCCACAACACAAGCGCTGGAGCCGCCATTTTCAAACCTGAATGACTATCGCTATCTTGCATCGCTACTACGCGTGACGTATGCCTGCACGTGGGCCACGCCAATTTGCATGAAGTGGTGTCTCGTTTCTTAGGGAAAGATCTCTACTCTAATATTTGATTTGTGATATTGGGCTTTATAAATAAAATTGATTGATTGATTGATAGATAATATTTCTCACTTCCCTCATCAAGGGTTATCTCATAAACGAGGGCACTCAGTACCAAGTGGAAGATTTAAGGGGTAGAAATGGGATTGGGCCTTAGCTGAGGGACTTACACAGTTGACTCAGGAAAATGTGAACTAATTTACTGCGTTGAAAGTTTTTTTTTACAGCAGTACAAGTTTCCATGGAGATTGTTTGTTTGCTTGGACTCATGATTGTGACGCCTGTTATTGTCTCACTAAGTTGGCCCGTAGTTAGATGGTAAAAAGAAGACAAGAAAAACTTATTGGTCAGAGGAGGAAAAGATTAAACCTCTAGAGGAATTCAATCGCAGAAAGCACAAACTGCAAAGTACATTTGATCCCAAATACCAGAAAACAGAAAATGACTGAAGGAAGAAGCAACGAAAATTTATTCAGCCAAATCTATGGTTCAAAATCAAAAGCGTAGTCACAGAAACTCTTCTCAGGGTGTGTTAGTGTTTTTATTATCACCATAAACTCAGTCATATTGAAGTTAAGTTAGAGTCAGGGTACCTTAAGTGTTTTGTTTAGTGGTCGAGGGATTCCTTAAGTATAAGACCACGACAAGAAGAAAACCATGAATACTTAAGTGAATACTTTAAGGAAAACCCTAAGGAGAAAATGTTTAAACCTTTGGATTTTATTATGGTGAAACCTTAACTAGGACTTAAAGGAAAATCTTAATTTAAGGTGTTTTGTGCGGCTGGCTCCAGGTTTGTCTAGTCTGTAAAATTGATGTTATACAAAGTCCCAGATGAATATTTATGAGGCTTCTTGATATTCATGAAGTTTCAGGTTTGGCCTCTTGTCCTGCAGCTCTGACCTGTGTACTTCCTCTCTCCGTCTTGAATATTAATGAGCACTTCCTTTTGAAGCTCCAGGGGGCCTCGTTATGATAATGTGTGCTGACCACTCCCAGTTGTCCGACACTGTGCTTTGATGCTGCGTTTGAGTGGCAGTTGGACGGTTTCTCAGGACAGCAGAGCGTCCAGCGTTTGAGAAACTGGCTGTGAAGTGTCCACACACACACACACATACACCCACAGACCAACACTGTGGTGTGTTTTTCTTACGTCTAGCATGCCCTTCTCTCTGACTTGGCCGACCTCCACTGAATCCTCCTTCTGGATATGACAGGAAAATCCAGCAGCTTTGAATAGCTGCGACAGAAACAGCATCGTGTCTTCCCCTCTGTAATCTCCCCCCGCCTCCATTCTCCCACACATCATTATCTCAACACATCCTTGTGACAATGCCGCTCTCTCCTCTTCATCCATCTGTCTTTCCCTCGCTGTCGTCTCCTCCTCCTCATCCCTTCTCTCTCTCTCTCTGTCTCTCTGTGCCCCCCGTGCAGACCAGTTCCCCAGCCTGCAGAGTAAGATGCGGGTGGTGCTGAGGGTGGAGGTGGAGGCTGTTAAGTTTCTGAAAGAGGAGCCTCACCGCCTGGACGCTCTGCTGAAGCGCTGCAACACTATGACCGATGCACTCAGCACGCTCCGCAGGTACAGATACTGTCTTAATAAACCAGGTCAACCTGCAAACATTGTTTTTTCTCTTCTTGATGTTTTATGGAGTTTGTGTTTATATTTCTTAGCCTGCTGTAAGACTCAAACCTGACTCTGACGTTTTTTTTATATCCATGTCATACTTGAGTTTTGGTTCAGCACAACCTGATTCCTCACTTTGAGAAATATAAACATGTTTTTATTTATTTTTTATTTGCTTGCCCATTAAAAAGTACAATTATTTTAAAAGATACAAAAAACACAGACACACGTGTACGACGGCACTTTTTCCGACATATACTCAGATGAACATGGATTTAAAGCTGAAATAGACAGAAATCTGAAAAAGGAATAAAAAAGTCAGAATTTGAAAATCCCCCCTCCTCCTGCAGCTCTCCCTTTCCCGTCCTAAGCCCCTCCCACCAGACGACCACGGTCATATGCACATGTTTCATACAGTAACCCAGTGTCTCCTGTATAGTGATTTATTTAATCTTATTTCATTGTTTCACACGGTGTATTAACTCACTGTCCCCCTCATTGCCCTGATCTCTCTCTGTGTTTACCTGTTTATGGGCAAGAATTAGCAAGCTAACGTTAGCCACCTCCTCCTCGCTCCCCGCCACTGTGAACTGCCTCCCTGTGAAGAAAGCGGGCAGCAGCTCTGGAGATGGACTTTTTCTCAGTGGCTGAAGCAGCTTAAATTCAGCCAGCATAAACCCTCCAGCGCTGGGTGTCATAGCAGGCTGGTGGCCAGCAGCAGCGCTGTCTCTTATTTGTGTAACTGCAGCAACAGAAAGTTTCCTGAGGGAAGTGGCGGCTGTCTGGTCTTCTGTAGCTGGGGTTTGCGCTGTCTGGTCTGGTCTGCTGCAGTTGCTGACTGGGGATCCGTCCACAGAGCTGCTGCCCACACTCCTTCCGGTGGTTCACAGCGGCGGGAAGAGGGGAGGACAGACGGTGAGGTGGCTAATGTTAGCTTGCCAACTACTCCCAGCAACGAAGGCTTTAGTGGCGGGGAGTGAGGTGGAGAACACACTGTGATTTGGGGCTCTAGCTAATTAGGCTACATAAATGTGAACTTGAATCTGCAGCTGTTAGCCTTTGGCTCCAGTTAGCAAAAGGCTAAACTATCAGCAACATTTTCTCTCCATCTTTGAAACACTTTGCAGATATTGACACATTTTATTTTTTAACTCTCTCACTGTTTTTGGGTTGCTTTGCAGTGTAGGCAGTTGTTGCCAATTCTGGAATAGCAACTTTTTCCGCAGGATTCTCCAACATTGAATCAGACTTTCACTAAATGAACATGCACAAGCATCTGCATCTGTAGGACAGCCAATAGGAACGCCCTCTCTCTGAAATGTCAGTGGCTGAAGCGGCTCAAATTCGGCCAGCACAACCCCCCAGTGTTGGGTGTCACAGCAGGCTGGTGGCCAGCAGCAGTGCCAGGTCCAACCTGTGTAACTGCAGCAACAGAAAGTTTGTGTCTGGCAGGGAGTCATGGTGGTCCGACTCTTTGGAGCTGGGGTTTGCACTGGCTGGATTTGGGCTGCTTTCTGCTGTCGCTGACTGGGAATCCATCTCTGGAACTGCTGCCCACGCTCCTCCCAGTGAGGTGGTCTGTAGCGGCGGGGAGTGAGGCGGAGGACACACTGTGATTCAAGGCTCTAGCTAATGTTAGCTACTGCAGCTGTGAGCATTTTGCTTCAGTTAACAGAAAGCTAAACTATTAGCAACATTTTCTCTCATCTCTGAAACAATTTGCGGATATTGACATGTTTTATTTTGTCTATTGTCAGACTCTCTATTTGTTAAGCCCGTCTTCCTTTTTTGGGTTGCTTTGCAGTCTACGTAGTTGTTGCCATTTCTGGAAAAGCAACTTTCTCTGCAGGATTCTCCAACATTGAATCAGACTTTCACTGAAGGGACGTGCACAAGCATCTGCATCTGTAGAACAGCCAATAGGAACGCCCTCTCTCTGAAATGACCTTTGATTGGCCAAAGTCTCATGTCACAGGCTAGATTTTCTAAAGCCTGAAAACAGAGACAAGAGGAGGTGCAGAAGTCTGGTGTTCTCTCAGATCACTTCATTTTCAATATTCTCAGAGTTTATTGTGGGATGTTTGCCCAGTGACACCGAGCTAAAACTGCCTACCCTTTAAAGTAATCAAAAGCAGGAGAAGTTGGAAGCTAAAAGTGAATGCAAAGACCTCTTAAAAAAATCAATGCAAGATAAACATAATTACATGAAAGAATAATAATAAAGGATAAATGTGTTTTAATATGATTCTGTCATTTAAAAGAAAAATATCCACATTTAAAATTTGTCTAAAAATTGATATTTGAACTGAGATAAAACTCTTTTTATCCTGGCAGTACAGACCTTACGAAGAACTCCTGAGGATGAGTTAAACATTGAAGACATTTATAACAGAAGTCTTGCTCCTCTCCTGCTGATTCGTTTTGTGTTTCTATGAATGATGAAAAACGATTTCTGACGTACAAACGAAGCATCAAATAATGCTGCAGGAAAAATGTGCTGTGTGAATACTGAGAGATACATCAGAGGAGGTTTAGTGAGAGCGTCACTCTCCATTACCGTGTTAACAATTGCTGATGCCGTTGATAGTGAGATGTTCTGGTCAGAGCGAGTTCATCAGACAGCATCCGAGATGAGGTGATCGTTTCATCAAAGCACGTTGTTAACAAGGTTGTTGAGAATTCTCCTCTGTGTCGGCCGCTGTATCTTTGCAAATGTTTTATTCTAGTGCTGATACCTTCCCAGAGCTTCAGCGCTGATATCAGAACCAGTGCAACAAAAGCCTTTTTTTAATCCAGCGAACACTCGCATTGGTTCAATATCTGAACACAAGCAGCTCAGCCTGAATAAACTGGAGTCTAAATCAGGAACTATCTGATAGAAGAATCAGTAAACAGGATTACAAATGGACTAAATATTTAAAGCAGGCTTTGAGAACACACACAGCGAGGCGCAGAGCCTCAGTACAAGATCATCAAATTAACAAACGTCACACCTAACTTTCCCTCGTCCAGGTGCTGTCTGTTGCATACACATCCCAAGAAGCAAGTTTGTTTCTACAGTATAGTACAGTACAGTGCTGGATCGAGCATATTTGGCGCCCTAGGCAAGCCCATGATGGAGGCAAGAAAGCTGAAAACATTTGGTTTTACTGGAGGAGACTCCACTTTTTAATTTTGATGTCCTTGTGGCATTTGACAGTTTTAAGGTTTTAACTCAGCCCTGCTGAATATTCTGTTATTCAGTGCAAAATGTGAAGTGATCGACAATGACTGCAAACAAAGCTGCAAACTCATTGAATAAAATCATGTTCTGATGAAATAAATCAGGTAATATTCTTTAATTCTTTGTATACTCTGTATAATCATGTCTCATAATGTACCTGCCTGTTGATGAAGCACTTCGGTATAAGGACTGCTAATTTGTCAGGCATTTAAAAGGCAGCTCATGTGTACTTAAAGGTTCAGTGTCTCTGGGCCTGTTTATACGGTTCCATATATTTCTGAAAACGGTATTTATCTTTGCGCTTGCACCCATCATTTACACGTAACCAGCGTTTTTCTCGACAAAAGCAGAGATTTTCAAAAACGGCTTCCAAAGTGAAAGTTTTTAAAAATATCCATTTCTGTGGAGACGTGTAAACAGGATAGAAGACGATGGCGTTACAACCCAGTTTGCACATGCCCATTAGGTGCCTGGTAACCACAACAACAATGATGGATATATGCCGGGTTGTCTACGTTTTGTTAGCACTTTTGGGACGACTTACGAGCTTAAAAATGAATGAAATTAATGATGTGAATGCTGTGTCCAATATTAGTAAGTGCACAGCAGCTAACTATGCTACATAAGGTTAAAATGTAGTTTATCATTGTTTTTAAGAGGAAAACAAATCACTGTGCATACGCAGAACGTCTTTCTATGGTGTTTGATGTATGGTGTATCGCCACCTACAGCCTGGCGTGCTAACTGCAGCAAAAAGCTGACATTTTTGTATTTTCGTGTAAACAGGGATATCGTTTTCACAACCGATCGTGTAAACCCGGAATTTTTTTTATACGGGATAGATAAAAATCTGTTTTTATTTGTATCGGTATCCGTGTAAACAAGGCCTAAGATTTAGGCGGATTTAGTGGCATCTAGTGGTGAGGATTGCAGATTGCAACCAGCTGAAACTTCTCCCAGTTAGAATTCCTTCAGTGTTCAGTGTTCAGGAGGTTTTTACAGAGAGCTGAATTATCCTCAGAGGTCTCTTCGTCTTTAAAACAAACAGACCAGCTGTTTTTCTGTCGTTTTTCTGCCTGAAAGTGTGAATGTCTCCATCTAGAGTCAGTGTCAGGTTTGTCCCTTCTGGGCTACTGTTGAAACATGACGGTGCAATATGGTGATCTCCGCAGATGAGGACCCACTCCGTATGTAGCTATATACATTACATCACTTTACTGTAAAACAGCCTTTAAAATGGAAATGACAACACTTAATGTGTAAACTGAGTGTTTTATTTCTTGTAGTCTGCTTCTTTAACAAAGTTCAGGACTTCATTAATCCCACACGGTGGAAACTAACACGTTACAGCAGCTCAAGAGTCAGAAGCAAGATGAAAAAAGCAAAATAAAGTGACTGAGTGGTAAAATAGGATACAAATAATACAAATAAGATAACATGAAAAAACAGAATCTCCGTACACCTTTAACGTATACCTCACTGTATGTCCGTGACTGATGGTTGCACAGGATGACTGAGCATGTGTGGAGTATGTTGACTGTAAAGATACAGAAATACAGCCATGTTGTCCTCTGTGTGTTGTAGTCTCTTGTGTTCCTCCTGTATCTACAGACAAGTGACAGAGGGAGTGTGGAAGGGCCCTGAAGACCTCTCCAGCCAATCACAGAAGAGATCGGAGGACATGAGTCGCAGCTCTGACCTGGATATCCTCAACAGTCCTCCTCTCAGCCTCACTGACCTGAGCACCAGCGCCGGCCTGGCCAACTGGATGCCCGTGCCCGCCGGCGACGCAGACACCTCGGGCCCCGAGCAGGACATCCAGCCCTCGATGACCTTCAGAAACCGGGTCCTCGACGAGCTGCCGAGTCGACGTCCTGCTGATAAGTCTGTGTCGGCTGAAGTCAGACTGGTAATCACATGTTGACTGTTTGTGTTTGTCTTCATTCTCAGATCGTTCTTCTGTTGATCGTCTAACACTGCTCGTTATTCAGCGCTGTAAATACGTTGGGATTAGCCAGCTGGCCAAATGTCCATTTACATCTGAAATCACATCTGAAGGTGCTTAAACGTCTTATTTAGACTCTGTGCGCACAGCAGCTGCAGCAAGTGGGTTATAAACCCATTCATCAATGTAACATTAGAAAACACACTGCGTCAATGTGTCTTAATTATGTTTCACCAGCTTGGCCCACATGTCGTTTGTGTGTTTCTGTGGAGGATGAAAAATAACTTAGGCATCATCAAATAAATCATTGTATGAATAAATACAGGAATAAACTAATACAGATATAATAAAGGATTAAATAATCAATAAATAATTGATAAACACAGGGATAAACATAAGTCAGTTAATTAAGTAAAGAATAAAAAATGAATATACAAATAAAGATTGATATAAATAAATAAATAAATAAATAAATACTGAAATAAATACATAAATAAAAAGCAAATAAATGTAAAAATAGATACAGGGATAAATTAATAAATGTGCAAATAAATATAAAAATAAACAAATAGTGAAATAAATAAATAAATAAATGTATAACAATGAATATAAAGATAGATGCAGGAATAATTAAAACAATTGCAGAATAAATAAATGCATTCATTAATAAATGCATTCATTAATAAATGTGTAAATTAATACAAAATAAATAAATACAGGGACAAATAAAAAATAAATAAAAGAATGATTAATTCTGAAAAATAAATAAAATAAAATCAATATAACTAATTAAATAAATAAGATAAATAAACGCTGCAATAAATATGGAGGTAAACAGATAAAGTCATTAATAAATAAATAAATACATAGCTCATAATTACACAGCACATAAATAAATAGACATCTTTCATTTTATTTTTAGATTTTTCTCCAATTATTTATTTCTGTATTTCTTTGTCTGTATGTTAATGATTTTGGAGGCCCTCTGCATTTATTTATTTATAAATGCATTTATTTATTTCAGTACCTGATTTTTTAATGTATTTATTCATTTATTTGTTCCTGTATTTATTTGTTTATACATTTATTTATTGATTGATACTTGTGTCATTTTTCGTCCTTCATATGTTGCAGCTCATCATTTGTCTGTGTTTGTATATGTGTCAGGCGGCAGAGCGGGACTGGGAGGAGAAGCGTGCCAGCTTGACCCAGTTCAGTGCCCAGGACATCAATCGCCTGCTGGAAGAGACCCAGGCCGAGCTGATGAAGGCCATCCCGGACCTCGACTTCGCTGCCAGGCACATCAACAAGCCCGCAGTGCCCCCCAAGCCCCAGATCACCATCCCAATAACCTCCACCACAGCGACTTCTCCTGCGGCGGGGACCACTGGGACCACAGCCACCACCACGTCAACCACCACACCCAGCGGGGACCAGCAGCCTGGCAAAGTGCAGCTGGCTGCCCAGAAGCTGAACAGCATGGAGGGGGCTGGTTCACATCGAGGGTCGGGTGGGTTTTTGTGTGTTTGTGTTGTAATAAAGCCGTGATGAGGAAAACTTTTACAAATGATTTATGTTGTTTGTGTCGTCCTCTGTTCACAGTGGATCTCAATGTGGCCAGGTATCGCACAGAGAAACCCTCCAAGTCTCCGCCCCCACCTCCACCTCGCAGAAGCTTCCCGTCTGCACACGGCCTCACCACCAACCGCACCGGAGAGGTCATCGTCACCAACAAGAACATGAAGGTGAGACACTTTCAGAACCGATTTTGGGAGCAGGTGAGCTCAGCGGTTGCATCTATTTACTATCAGTCTGATGTTTCCTGCCATCACCTGCACCACCTTATGAGGACTGACAGTGCTGTGCACGAGGCATGTGCTTATGAATGAGCTCATATTTTATGAGATGAGATGTTTTGTGTGCAGAAATCATAACTCAGGAAAAAGTACATTTCTCTGGAGCTGCTTCATAGACAGTGAGCGGGAGACTGATTTTATGAACACACAGAATGTTTGTTTTCTGTTTTTACACACAAACAAGCTTCATTCTGTTGTTTCTCAGCTCTGAAACAGAAAACGTTCCCCTGGCTGCTGTCACTGTCACCTAGGACCAGTGTTTGGCAAGTTACTCTCAAAATGTAATATATTACATGTTACAAGTTACCTTCATTTGAAAGTAATGCGTTACTTTACAATACTACTCTCTGTGTAGAGTAATCTGTTACTTATTGCACTACTTTTGTGTTACTTTCACCAAAATGACCTCAGAGGAACTGATATTGATTTTAAATGGATGAAGGTTGTGTTGTTTCACAGCAGGTAATCAGGTCTGACCCGTTCATGTGTTCATATACAGTGGTTACACCTATATATTAAAGGGATAGTGCACCCAAAAATGAAAATTCAGCCATTATCTACTCACCCATATGTCGAGGGAGGCTCAGGTGAAGTTTTAGAGTCCTCACATCACTTGCAGAGATCCAAGGGGAGAGGAGGTAGCAACACAACTCCACCTAATGGAGGCTGACGGCGCCCCAGATTCAAACGTCCAAAAACACATCATTGAAACCACAAAATATCCACAAAATATCCTGTGCTAACCTCAAATGTTGAGGTTAGCACAGGAAACAGAATGGCGTGTGATTAAGTCACTGTGACAAACACAAATCAGAGCTGGAAGACCCACCTGCTGGTTCCCAGTGTGTCGGTCAGCTACAGCAGCTCCACAGAGAGAGTTGTGTATAAGAGCAGAACTGTGTGTAGACATCGCTCTGTGATTGTAGGAGATGTGAATGTAAACACATCCAACATATACTGACATCACCCAGATGTGCCGATCACCAAGATGAGGACAAAACAAACTGGAGGTCAGCTCCTGATCCCCGCTGCTTTCAGGCAGCTTCAGGACGCAACAGCAGAACAGGACACGTTGGAGACGTTACAGGTGTATTAATGGAAACACAGTGAACATTAACCACACACAGTGTGGCATCACCCAGATGTGCAGATCACCAGCACCCTTCTATGATGTAGCGTATAATGACATGCTGATACACAGCAACCTGTGGGGGATATTTCTTTCTGTTGGTGCACTGATTAGTTTAGTTTATTAAATTTATTTGTAACAGGGACAGTGCACAAAGTACATTAATCTCACAAAGAAAAAGATGTTTTGTACCAGATTTAGCTTCTAGCTACTTTCCATCTGTAGTCCCTGGGCAGGAGAACAAAGACAGCAAAACACAGGACAAAACCCATCATCATCATCATCGACCCACACACACACGCGCGCGCGCACACACACACACACACACACACACACACACTCAGTCACAGTAGCACGCTAAGTAAAGACAAGACAGTATACAAATATTAAGACATGGAGCACACGTGTCCAGTCGCAAAAACAGTCAAAAATGTAAAATGAATGCTGACCAGACTGATCACTTAAAATCCATTTTTTAGCTTCACGAGAGAAAACATGGAAGTCCATGCAGGTTTTGAGATTGACAGGAAGCTTATTCCATTCTTTAATGGCTTTAGAAGAAAAAGCAGATTGTGCAAAGGCAGAGCCTCGTTTAGGAACGCTACAATCTCCCCCTGAAGCAGACCTGGAGGTTCTGCTAGTTTGCTCAGAGCGGAGCTGAACAAAGCTCTTCAGTGGTGGAGGAGCAGCATTATAGATTATTTTATGCACTAAACAAACATCAGAGTACCGAATTAAATTATCAAAACTTAACATTTTATACTTAACAAGAATTTCACAATGGTGATACTGTCTTGATTTCCTATCCAGGACTTTCAAGGCTTGTTTATGAAGTGAGCTTATTGGTTTTAAGACGGTCTTGTTTACTTGAGACCAACATGATATGCAATAATGAAAATAAAATAAAATCATAGCATTCAAAAATGTCACAGAGGCTTCGACTGTTAACGAGTTCCTGATATGTCCAAAGTTAGCTATGTTATATTTCAATACATGGCACAAATTTTTAATATGCCTTCTGAATGTAAGAGTGGGATCTAAAGTGACACCCAGGTAGCAGATCAGTGTGGATCAGTGGCGGCTGCTGGTCTTTCAAACAGGGGAAGCTCACTTTAAGTTTACATCATAAAATGTGTCATACTGCAGCGAGGCAGTAACTTACAAAAGGAACATTTAACTGAAGCCGTTTATCAACCACACTCAGGCCATAGAACCACAGCAACACACACCTCAAAGATTTTCAGATGGGTGTGAAAATGAGCGATATCGCTTATGGAAATAAGGAACTCTGGACGGCACTCTGTCAGAAGACTCCACTCGCAAATATCCGCATGGGACTGAGCTTGAAATGCAAAGCACTGTCAATCACAAAGGGGTTCAGCCTTTTAGAAACTTCCTCCAATCATCATGCACGCACTGAGCGTTTTCTCCCGTCTACCGCTCCATCAGGTCCCAGGGAAGCTGAGCCTCCCTGGAAGTGACGATCTTGTCGCATTTATCCAATGACCGTCTTGCTTTGCTGCAACCTGCTCAGCGCTGTCTCATAGGAATGCTTGGAGGCTCCGCGTCCACCATGCTGACACGAGAATGTATGACAGGGAGGTCGCGTTTGAAAACTGGTGATAAACAGCTGACGTTTGAACATCGTAGTCGTGATGTGAAACACATCCTAGTGCACGTTTAATGCAATGTAAATTCTTATTTTAATGTAAATTCAGTAGTGAATATTTGACCATTTCTTCTATGAAATTTTAGGGGAAGTTCAGCCTCCCTTGTTGTCTCAGAGCAATCGGCCCTGGTGTGGATAAACATAAAATGAAAACAATAGTTTATGTCGGGTGGCAACGCATGACGTGACACTGTAAATGTAATAATATTACCTGTAAACCTGTTGGTAACATGTTGTATCACCTCGTTACTGCTAAATCGTTCTATAGTGCTGTATTGATCTAGAACATTTTTCACCACTCACTGTCTGTGGAGCAGCTCCAGACTTTGCACCCTATGACATCACAGATTTGAGTTCTAGCACTGAGTTGAGTTATGCATGTTTCCTAATGGGCGTAATTCCCCTTTATGGTTGAAGTAAAGCTGTTCCCTGCTGATCTACAGTGTTAGTTAGGGTACTGTTGATAAAGCTGTGTTTGCTCCTGGAGTGACAGCTATCATTAAAACACTGACCTGGTTTGTATCTTGTGAGCGAGTGAACCGCGGAGCCTCTGAATAAACACACAACAGATTGAATTAATGATGTGACAGTGAGCGCGGCGCTGCTTTGAGTTTCACTAACAGCAGCTCTGCGTCTAATTTTAGTGAGATATTTGAGGTGAAACACACCTCCATGGTGCTGCTGTCAGTTAGAAGCTTCAGTGTTTGTTAATGCTGATAAATCTAAATCTCGTGCAGACCGTCCTGCAGGAGCTGATCCAAAATATTATCAGAAGCCACTTTAAGAAGCTGCGGCGCATGCATGTTCTTTAAGCCCTGGATACTTTGAGTCAGGGGAGCCTCTAGCTGTCTGAGATCTGCAGCTTCACCTGGAAATACAGTCTCAGTGGTCTTGTGTGTAGAGACACAGAAACATGTTGGACTCTGACCCACATACTAAGAAAGCTGCTCTCACATGTCGTGTTGGCTGGAGGCAGGTTTATGTTTTGGTTCTGCTGCTGCTGCAAAGCCTCCCTGATCCACCAGCTCACCCTCTGTGGAGACACTTGCTGAGTCCAACTCACTTTTGTCTCCAGAACAGTCTGAATCCTTCAAAGTGTTCATTCAACAAGGTGCTGAAACCTTCCTCAGCGACCTTGACCATCAAATGTCAAGTGGTTCCTTATTAGATTAGATTTTTTTCAGTGCGGTTCATTCACAGTAAAGGTCAGTGTGAGGTCTGTGAGATGTGTTGAATAGTTTCCATGGTGCAGGGAGGCCTCTGTCAGAGATGAATCACACTCAGAATCAGTTCAGAGATTTTCTTGGTTTTATTTTGGGGTTGTTGAGTTGATCTGTGTGTCACTGGTTCTCTGTCAGTGTGTGGCACAAACAATATGTGTTGCCAACTATCAGCATCACATCACTGTTACACTGAGCGCTCAACAACAAGAGAGTCTATTGTCCTGTGAGACCTTCAGCACAGCACACCCACAGGACGCCTCTGATTCTGTTTCTCTTGTTGTGTCGAAGCTTTCTTGGTAAACTAGATAATCTGGAGAGAGTGGATCTCTACAATAGTGTAGTCTCTTGTTGATTCTTCAACAGAGATCAGAGTTTCTTTGAAAGCAGCTGTTTGTGACATTCAGAGCATATCTATGATTCAGCGTCAGATTCAGGTTGTCTGCACATAGTTCTCAACATGGAGGTGGTTGAGCTAGCAGCTAATGGTGCTAAAAGTGCCAACAGTGGTAACAGTGTTGACAGAGCTAACAGTCATAACCAGGGGGAAACCAAAGGGACATGGGCACCACGCTTACACAACAATGCCATCCTGATATCAGCGGTGACTGCAGTATGAGTGCAGTGCAGAGCAGCACAATGAGCTAGCACATGCAGTAACATGCACACGCCACTGGACCAGTTTACCACAGCAAAGAACAGAGAAGCTCAGATTACAACATGTTCAGAGCAGGGCTGTCAAAATTGCTCAAAATTGACGTTCGAATATTCCTTCTAAAAATAACTCATAGGTTCGAACCATTCGAATTTTTTTTTCTTCGCATTATGTCCACAAGAGGGCAAACTAATACAAGGAAACATACATGTACAGTATATGTATTAATACAAGGAAACATAACTACTTGTAGGTATTTTTATTTCAACATAAACATTTTTGAAAACATTTACATACCTACACATTAAAAGACATAAAACAATTATCTATAACATTACGTTATAAACGACGCGGACCTCTCACTCGCCCCCCCTCTCTGACCCCTCAGAGCCTCAAAGCAAAGCCAGATTCCTTTCGGCGCCCATGTTAACCGACTGTGTCATCCACAATGGCTGCGCCGCAACGTGCAGCTCCGTGGCCGGCTTGCGCCCTGCAGCGATCGTTTCGGCGTCTGGTTTATTTTCTGCGCGAGCCACGAGCTAATGTGTCAAGCCTGGTGATGGAGACAACAGCTGGGAGCAGAACCGCTTGTCGACCAGCGTGGAGAAATGCGCGTCTGATGTGAACGGAAGTGCTCCGGCTCGTGCAAGAATTTTGGTGCGCTGCGCNCTGGGAGCAGAACCGCTTGTCGACCAGCGTGGAGAAATGCGCGTCTGATGTGAACGGAAGTGCTCCGGCTCGTGCAAGAATTTTGGTGCGCTGCGCTTCGCAGCACTTCCGCGGGCGGTGTGGCTTTATGCAGTGTGTTCAGTGCAGCGGCCCAGGCCAACGCCCCCTTGCAAAGAGGACAGCTGCGGTGGTGTTTTTTTTTCTCCACAATCGAATATCAGTTTTCACATTCGAAGGTCCAATTTTTTTTTTTTTTCAAATCCGAATTTAAATTCTAATTTAGAATATTCATTGACAGCCCTAGTTCAGAGGCAGCATGACTTAATTCTCTGCTCAGAACTAGGGCTGCAACTAACGATTATTTTCATTGTCGACTAATCTGTCGATTATTTCTTTGATTAGTCGACGAATCATTTCATTGAAAAATGTGTTAAAATGTTGACAAATGTTGCTCTGTGTCTCCCAGAGCCCAAAATGATGTCATCTAATGTCTTGTTTCGTACTCACGCCAAAGGGTTTTAGTTCACCGTCATGGCAGAGTGTGTAAAGCTGCCAATATTTGAACGTAAGAAGCTGCAATAAGAGTATTTTGGGTACTTTTATAGTACTTTGCTATGAAAAATGACTCAAACCGATTAGTCGACTACTAAAATAGTCACCGATTACTTTAATAGTCGATTAGTCATCGATTAGTCGACTAATCATTGCAGCCCTACTCGGAACGCTGTTACTGAACTTTATCTTCACATAGCAAATAAAGATCTGCTGTTTTTATTAATGCTCTGAATGTTGAATACACAACCTTTGCGTCTGTTGACATGGTACTAACATCCTGACCCTGGACGTCTTTCATCTTCTTTGAATTTATTCATCCACCTTCTCGGAACCCATCGGCTGTATTCGGCGTCTGACTTCCGGCAGATGGTGATACAGCCTCTGGGGGCAGACCCCCGATTTTTTGGCATTCCGGTTTGATTTGGGCGGAGGAGGCGAATTTCCATTTCCGACTTCTGTTCATATATATAAGTAAATATGCTGAACCATTGCGATGGATTCAGAGTTTGCAGTGACGCCAGTTATGTTCCACCTCGTTAGTTCACCGCACGGAGCGTTTAACCTGGCAACAACTGCAGCCAGCTCAAACGTGATTGGTCAATATCACGCGGACTACAAACAGCCTACAACTGGAAACCAGGGCTCTTCCGCTCTTCTTCCAGAGGCAAGATCTCCGGGGTTTTGCCTACAGACTCTACATTCACTGAATGTAGAGTCTGTATATAGAGACTAATTCATCCATAACTGTGCTATGATTTCACAGTATCACTGCCTATCATCTTGTATTTCTTTCACTATGTCCACATCACGCACGTATATGGTAGTGTTGTATATTTGTGTGCCTCCAAGTTGACTATAGCTGCGCCCGGAGGCATTATGTTTTCAGGTTTTCTGTCCCATCCCTGTGAACACAATATATCAAGAATGTCTACTTCCTTCAGTTTTGGCACAAACGTCCACTTGGATTCAATGATGTACTGATTAGTTTTTGGTGGTCATAAGTCAAAGGTCAAGGTCACTGTGAGCTCATCCATCTCATTCTTGTGAACATGATATCTCAAGAATGCGGTAAGGGAATTTCTTCAAATTTGGCACCAGTGTTCACTTGAACTCAACAACGAGCTGATTGGATTTCTGTGGTCAAAGGTCAAGGTCATTATGACCTTGCATCTGTCTCACTCTCGTGAACACAATCACTGTCATTGCTGCTGAAACAACAATGACTGAGACGGAGAATAGTGGCACGTTCTTCTGTGAAAAATCACCAATAAAAGCTTCTAAACACAAGTGGACATGTTCCAGCAGGAATATGATCTGAAATCCTGAAGAAATAAATATTGACAACCAAGATTATGTGTTTTCCTGATGTTAGCATGTAGCTACATGTAGCAGTGTACGTAATGTAAGCAGACGACCATATCAAGAAATCCGTCACAAGCTGACGTCAGTTTGTCTCAAAGTAGAATGTTGAAAGTTTTTGCTCACAGGGATTACTCTTACATACATTTACCTTATTATGTGAAACTTTGGCTGCATTTATGTGAACATCTCACATTGTGATAATGTTATAAATGTGACAGAAAATAAGAAAAACTATGAAAGGTCGCCTTTAAAATAACAGTTTGAAAGTAATGACTGGTTGTTTAAACTGAATTTGGGGGTGCAGACAGCTGTGAAGGATCCAGCTGATAACCTTTAAAGATGAACAATGCTGTGACAGCTTAGTCTGGCGTGCTCGTTATTTATCAGCTTTATTTAACATCTTTATTTTCTCCTTTCAGATGGAAGAAGATGGCGAGATGCCCAAAACTCTGGTGAAGCTGAGGCGGACCCCCTGTGACACGCCTCGACCTGCCTCGACCCCGCCTGTGATCGCAGCATCCGCCATTCAAGACGACGACAACGAGGAAGAGAAGATTATCGCCGAGCTGGAGGTAAATGACTGATTTCCTAGTTACACAGAGGTTCATGTCGCTGATTTTTGCTGCTGTATGTTGGTGTGATAACATGTCTCTGCCACATTCTTTCATACAATCACCCTGGATCAAAGATATTTCAGAGAGCACCTGTAAAAGATTGTAGTAAACAGTACAGCACCCAACCAAAGGCCACCCCCACCCCTCCCTGCACCTCTGGCACCCCAGGCAGAAAGGTAAATTTAAAACCAGCCCTCTCTGTCTGCCACGCCTGTGGACTCTGCTTCTACTCACTGTCCCTTTGACGTCCTTCTCCCTTTTTGATTCTCTACTTTACTCCTTTATAACCACTAACACACAAAATGTCAACACCTCGATCAGAGCAGAAGTCCAGCTGAAGATGAAAAACTCTTTACAGTCATAAAACTGGACCAGTTTAATCAGAGATAAATGAATAACTTTGATAGATTGTGTTGGTCCTAATGCTACATTACAGAGAAATACAAACCGTACTTATGAACCTTCATTAATATAGGCCTATATTTTATCTCCAAGTGCACGTCACACACTGAGCGAGCCGCCTGTTAATGACGCTGTGGGCTAATGGGCATGTAGCTACTTCCATGTTTCAGATGATACGTCATGTTTGTAGTCGACCAATGAAGATGAGTTTACATATCACCTTGGGTTCGTCCTTCACCTTCTCAAAATGATCCCACACTTTGGATTTCCTGCCCGACATGTTATTAACTAGCCTGTGGAATAACCGCAGGTACCAGCCCTGGAGATTAACCTGACTCCTGTCTGACTGCTGAGCGTGGACACTTCCTGTGTCTGTCCTTTCAAAGTAAAGTCACACATGCTCCAGTCATATAGGTTTGGATTTATTCTGATGAGGTGCAGCTCCTGATAGAGTTTCACGTTTGTTTGTTTTTTCCTGCAGCTAGGTGACCAATGAAATCTGGCCGACTAACATTTGGCAGCTCTAAAATTTACCACTTTAATCTCAGAAAATATCCAAGATTGGCTAATACCAGCTCTAACCATGACTTCTTTGCCCTAATAAATCCTAACCGCTTCTGATCCATAATAACGCATTGTAGGGATGGGTGCAAATAGCAGAATAGGTACAGTTTGATTTTTCTCACATTATGTTTTCGCCGGTGTTTGTCTGTTTGTTTGTTTGTCTGCAAAATAACTCAAAATTTATAAACGGATTTTGATGAAATTTTCAGGAAAGGTGGATAATGGGACAAGGAACAGATGATAAACTTTTGGTGGTGATCAGTTGAAGCAAAGTGCATAAAATAATAAAAAAGTCTATCATCTGACAGCCTCAGCAGCAATTCCAATTTCTAAAGACAGTGAAAATAGCGCCATCTGGTGGCGGGAAAGCACGTCTTGTTCTACTTGCTAAATAATGTTGTAATTCTAAAGTTGAAATTGATGTTCTGTGTTGGAAAATACAAAAAAACATATTATATTCTGTGTTGGTACAAAATAAAATCGAAATAAATACACCACAGTGTCTCCATGGTGAAGACATATATAGCCTCATAATGACAGTGATGCAAATAACCTGATTGTGATGCAGGCTGCAAAATCCAATGCAGAGGGGGAGGGAATATCACCTACTTAGCGGAGGTCTGCACTCTCTGAGTGCTTTTCTAGTTTGTGTAAATGTCATATAAATAACAGTATTTTTTTTTAACTGTATTCAAAGTATTAGTCATAAAATAAAGGTTGTAATTTGTATATTAATAAAATAGGTGACACTGACACTTTTCTCTGCAACGTTCTAAAATGGTTTTGTCCCGTCGAGAATCTTCGGTCTGACCTGGGCTTTAAACGTCCCACTCATCTTCTTAACAATATCAGTTCACTGGCACATTTTTATACGCACTTAGTTTTTATTTCTGTTGCGTCCCAAATATTTGACTCATCCCACATGACATCGCTGTTTATTGAACATCAAAGAATACAACATGTATCTTCCAGTAACACATTTCAAAATCAAAAGGAAAAATGTTGTCTGTATGTACTTCTGTTTACTTTCAAACAACATACTGACACGAAAAATGTCAAATAAATAATTAAAGGAAAAGCAGAAGAAAGAAACAGATGTTTATTCTATATGACATGACCTGCAGTGTGGTTCTGGTTGTAGATGCTGTACTGATCTTCTCTTTCTGACCTTGTTAACAGTTCCTCCCCTGACTTCCTGCTTCCTCTGAACATGATCTCATCTGTGTGTGAAACTTGCAGTGATTTTTGTTTGATCGTCTCAGTTAACTAGAGCTTTTACAGTGTAAACACACAACCTTGTAATTGATGGTGTGATGTGCAGTGAGTCATGGATTGAGGCAGATGATGTGTTTAGTTTCTGCCTCGCACACTGAAGCACTGAGGGCTCGTCTTGACAGCTCCGCTGTCACATTTAGCTGAGTAAAGAGGTCTTGTTTTTGTAGGAATTATCGCACAACGGCGCTAAGCAGGTAGCTGTCAAAATAAAGGACAGAGAGGGAGGAGGGAGGGGAGGGTGGGGATTCAGGTTCAGAGCTGCAGACAGAAATGTTTCTCTGTAAGAATCTATTTTCTTTCATGCAGGTGTTTTAAATTCAGACCCTGTTTTTACTGGCTGAAGACACGTGGGCCACTGTGCTGTGTTTAACGTTGTTGCCAACAGTGATTAATGTCAGCAGAATAAAACCCAGGCTCTGTTTTAATACTGGTCATTAACACAATATTTCCCGTGGTGGAGCATTTTCATTTTCTGTGCACATGCTGTTTACAAATGCATGAGCAGGACCAGCCCGGGACCGTCTGCAACATTTATTTACTTTGTGTTTATTTGTTTACTCACACAGTGAAAATAAATACATAATGTAAAAAGTCAGAGCGGGATTATAAAGGGTCACAACACGAGGAATGAGTCACACAGCAGCAACAGATCCATTATCACATTTCAGACAATCTGATGATTACAATCAAGTCATCATCTCTGCAAAGCTGATTCTGTGAAAAACTAAAAGGGTAAACAAGCGTCAACAAAACATGGAAATCAAGCGAGGAATACGTTTATTCATCTGCTGTCTCTGTGCATGTTGGATTCATCCAGATGTCATAACACCCTCACCGAATGGAACAAAGAGATCAATGTCTCCCATTTACTGGAAGGTCTCCCCCTTGTTCCTCAGGGACAACGTCAGTTTGTCCATCACATTATATCCATTACTGTTTACAACCACTGTTTAGACGGGAGGTTCCCTTTATACCAGTGTTTTGCAGGAAACCAGTAGATTTCGCAGAAACAGATCACGTCTAAAAGCAACTTCCTTTAAGACACAACATCTTACTGTTTTTTAAAGGACACAGATAATCTAAAATATCTCCAAGGGTTCAAGATAAATTCTCCCAAAATATTTGACTAAAAAATTATTTCTTAACACGTTAAACTATGTAAAACTTTACAAAGTTAATTGGGATTGAATTCAGATTCAAAGACTTCTGTTGAAAGTTGAAATAATAGCTGAAATAATCAATAAAGACAGAAGGGAAAAAGTCTTTGGAGAGGACAACAGACCCAGTCGCCAGAAGAACATGTCGGCATTTCTGCAAACCATGAATACGTTACATTTGCACATTTCATTATCTAACATGTTAATGTCTCTAAAGTGACGTAGTATGTAATCATGAATAAATGAATAATAATAGTAACTTTATTTCTATAGCGCTTTTCTAAACCACAATTACACATGCATACAAAATTATACAATGTTACAAAAGCCAGTCTGTGCAGGTGGGTTTTTAACAGCTTTTTAAACTGAGGAAGTGACTCGACTGATTAAATGTTTCACAGCTTTACAGTAAATAGCCTTTTGTTTTAAGCCTGGACCGTGGAACGTTGAACAACATTTGGTTTTAGTAATGTAGGCCTGAGAGAGTGAGGGAGTGGATAAGTTGTATTGGTTTGACCATGGCAATATTTCTGATTTGTAAGAAACAGGAGTGAAGAACAGCCTTAAATGTGCGGATTGAAGTTTGGGTATGGAGCAAAGACAACTCCCAAGTTTCTAGCTGAGTGCTTCATGTTAGTGCGCCAAGGAAGGGGGTGGAGCTGTTGGAGGTGTGGTCAGGACCAATAACCTCTGTATGTGTGTGTGTGTGTGTGTGTGTGTGTGTGTGTGTGTGTTCCATGTTTTTCTCCTCACTGACTTGGTCAATCCATGTGAAATTTGGCACAGTGGTAGAGGGTCATGGGAGGATGCCAATGAAGCAATATTACATCAATTGGCCAAAGGGGGGCGCTATAGCAACCCATTGAAATGTCAAACTTTGAATGGGCATATCTCATGCCCCGTATGTCGTAGAGACATAGGAGGAACACATTTGCCTCAAGAACCCATAACTTCCGCTTATATAGATTTTCCACCATTTTGAATTTTTTGAAAAACACTTCAAATGGATCTCTTCCTAGGAAGTTTGAGCGATCTGCATGAAACTGGGTGAACATAATCTAGGGACCAATATCTAAAGTTCCCTCTTGGCAAAAGTTGGAAAACTTACTAAAACTGAGCTTCTATAAGGCAATGAATATTGCGGAGGGCGTGGCTCATCACATAAAGGTGTATAACATCTCAAGGGTTTCACCCATCACCACGCAACTTTGTAGGCATATGACCACACATAATCTGAGGGGACCCCTCCATTATTGACCCCATCAAACAAAATGGGGGCGCTAGAGAGCTCATTTCTTATCTAGGCCTAACCGCCATATGGATTTTTACTAAACTTGGTAGATATGTAGAACAGGACGCCTCAAGGTGACTGGAGAAATTTAACTCTAATTGGCAACTGGGTGGCGCTATAACAACAGAAAAATGCTTCAAAATGGCTAAAATGCGACCGATCGCTGTGGCTCCCCCTGTGGACCAATGTTGGTGTTGTTTCTAATGTTTGGTATGACTAAGTCATGGTATGGTATGCTGTACATAATCACGGAAACTGTCAGTGTGTCATTCTGTCTGTCAGTCATTCTGTCTGTCCCACGTTTTTCTACTCACTGACGTTGTCAATCTATGTGAAACTACACATAGGCATTGAGGACTGGCATAGGTAGAAGGTGACAAAGATACCAATGGCTATGGACTAGTCTGTGTTAAGCTGTAGGAAGTTGGAAGCCATCCAGTCCTTAAAGGCAGCGAGGCAGCAGTGCACAGAGTCCAGGTTGCTATGATTTCCAGGGCTTACTGAGATGTACAACTGAGTGTCATCAGCGTAACAGTGGTGGGACACAGAGGGGAAATTGCGGATGACATGGCCAAGGGGTAAAAGATACAAGCTGAATAAAATAGGGCCAAGGATTGAGCCCTGTGGGACACCATATACAAGCAGTTGAGGAACTGAAGTCGTCAACAGTGACTTTGAACTCTCTATTTGACAAATTGGTTGCAAACCAGTTAAGAGCAGATCCACTTTGACCAACCCAGTTCCATCATCATATCAAAGGCAGCAGTCAAGTCCAGCAAAATGACAGTGGGATGATTTCCTGAGTCTGCACTTATCAAAATGTCATTGGTTACTCTCAGCAGTGCAGTGTCTGTGCTGTGATTCTTTCTAAAGCCAGAATGGAATTTGTCGAATATGTTGTTGTCTTCTACTCTTTCTAAAAGTTTCTGAGCAACCACCTTTTCAACAATATTTGAAATCAGTGGTACTTTGGATATAGGACAGAAAAAGATGTTCAGTAATCACATATGGTTACGGTGTTACTTTGTCCATGAGGAGTACATGTATGGTATTTATAATGATGTGAGGATGGCGTGTTTTGTGCATCTGTTAATGTTTAAATGAGTCAAATTAAATTAACCCCTGCTCTCTCCTGGCTCCCACAGAACAGCACTAATTCTCCGGGGCCGATGAAGGGCCCCACCGTTGCAGCCAGGCTCAAACACCTTCAGCAGGGCAGCCTGGAGAGGCCCAAAACCCGCAAGCAGAAAGAGGATTTCCCCAAAGTCCAGGGCCAGCAGCAGGTATTCCACTTCTAAAACCTCCACCTCTGACGCTTCGTCTGCCTCTGCCTCTCCTCTCTGCTGTCACTTCAGAGGAACTTGTGGCCCCACCAGCAGACAAAATGAGATTACACAAACACCAGAGGGGGAACTATCTACAGAAACCTTGATTTTTACCAGTTCTTGATGTGTGTTTTGACATTTGAGTTACTGGATCTAACCTAGCTTGCTTAGAGATCAAGTTTTTGTCGTACGAGTTTGTCGATGTTTTGATTTCCTGAGGAAGGTTCTTGGTGGTGCTTGTGACTGATTCAACTAGCTTTACTATAATAGTCAGATCTATTCAGATAAAACCTCTTCCTCCATGATCTTCAGTAATGCCACGGAATGATTTCATATCTCAAAGTGATGATATTTAACCATGACCCTGCTCACTCACTGAATCCTCATCTCTCACTCTATTCATCCACTAACGACCACACGCTGCCCTCCTTATATCACCCATTAGATGTGCAGGTTGGCAGGCAGGCAGCGCTGCAGCTCAGAGTGTCAGTACGTTGGTGTGGCTGGTGTTGAACAGCCAAGAGGCCAATCCATTAAGCTAGCTCACTCAGAACTGCCTTTTAACAGCTCTAATGCTACGACTTATTATGCAAGACGACGAGAGTGAAGCACAAGACGCAAGGTTACCTGAGAGAGCTGTTTTTAATGTGGAGGAGCTTTTCACTTTAACGCTGCAATAAACATATTTATAGAAGAGGAGAAGTGGAGGACTGTGAAGAGGACTGACTGGCTGAGGCAGCAGAGGGAAAACTAAATGTATATGGAAGAATATAAAAAGCTGCAAGGATTTAAATTGTATAAACATCAGTTTATACCTCATGATGACATTTAATGCCTCTGAATTTATAAATGTTTTACGTGGAGAAAACTCTGAATTTATGTAATTCAGATATTCTTTTTTATTTCACATCAGTAATTTCAAGTTTTGCAATTTCAGAAACATGATTTTATGGATTGAAGGATTTATAAAGATTATTTCTTGGGAATTTTATGCCTTTATTTGATCGTGATGGTGGAGAAAGAGAGTAAATGAGAGGAAAGCAGGAAGGGAATGACAAGCAGCAAACAGTCCAGCCGAGGAACTCGTTTTTAAGGGTTCACAAATACAGATTATTTAAAAAAAAAAAAGATGTTTAAGTCGCTCAAATTCTGCCGTTAAGGGTATACTATGCAGAAACTGTCGTTTACTGTTTGTTAACAGACATATGTCACTGTCCAAACATCTGTATTTGACAGTGAAACAGGGTTGGTCAAGCTTCAAACATGTTGGATACTTCATTTCCCATAATGCAGCTTGGTAGCATTTTGTTATAAAAGCTATAATATGTGAGAATTGTCGGCCTCTGTTCGCCAGTGAAAGTGAGAGCAAAACCCAATCCCACATTCACTCTTGTTTGCTCTGTGTCCTCAATTTTCAATTTTTGTAGCTTCCTCTTGGATGTGTGCCGCTTTCAGTCTGGCACCGGGCGCTACCTTTTTAAAAAGTCGTGACTTCACCTGAGCGCTGCGTTCAGGAACACCCAAACAGAGAAACATTAAGATAAGATAAGATAAGATAAACTTAATTGATCCCACACTTCCCATTCACATTAAGAAGAAAATAAGAAAGCACAGGCAGAGGGCAGAACCTGCTTATAAATTCATTGTCACATACTTAGAGTGGGTCATAAGTGATGATTGAGAGGGCTTACTTCTGTATGTATGAATCTATATGTTGTCTGTATAGTATACCTTTAATTTCCAAACCAAAAAAATTAAGTTGAGCCAAAAAAATCAAGTTGCTGAAATTGTGTTGATGAAATTCAAACACCAAATTTCAAAATGTAAAATTCAACCTTGAAAACCCGGCTGGTTGAGACTGTTTGACAACAGCTGCCGATAGTTAGAAGTGATCAGACAGTGTGTCCTATCAGGGTATAGTCTGTCAATAATGTGACTTACAAAATCAAAAAATCAAAAAGGTTTTTGAAATTGCAAAACAAAAAATTACCCTGTGGGAATTGAAAATATGGAAATCAAACCACCTAAATTCAGATAGAAAGTAAAATATTTTCAGTCTTATAAATATTGTAGAATATTAATGCCAATATTAGGTACTCAGGAGAGTAGTTAAATTTACAAATTAGGTGTTTGATTTTGAATAAAATTCAAATTATTATTTGCTTTCAACCTCCTGTTCACACATACAGACTCAAACACAGGATGACATTCACTGTGGATCTCATAATAACATCCTGGACCTCGACTGAAGACTGCAAAGTTGCCCAGGAGCAACATGCGGATGTTGAGAAAGGTTAAACTTCATGCAAATGTCCAGAGCTGCAACAAACAGTTATTTTCATTATTGATTAATCTGCCCATTATTTACTGTATCACTGTTTTGTCAAAATGTCAGAAAATAGTGAGACATGCTCTGAGAAATTTCCCAGAGCTCAAGGTGACGTCTTCATATGTTGTGTCAGATCCAGAACAGTCCAGAGATCCCAGAGATATTCAGTTTATTAAGAAGAAAAACATCAAATTCTCTCATTTAAGAAGCACAAAATCAGTTTTCAGACTAAACTGATTATTCAATGATCAAAATAGTTGTTAACCTTTTTCTGTAGACTGATTAACAGGGTTCCTGTGGTCATGGAAAACCTGGAAAAATCATGAAATATTAAAACACTGGCAGATTTGGAAGTCATTGCATTTTGTTGCATGTAATGAAATAGTTAAGGTGATCTTCCATGTAACGTAACATAACGGCAAAGTTATTTTTGTAGCTTGTGACGTAACGTAGTTCTGATATGCATCGATGTGTGACGGCATCTTGTTTACCATCACGTATGTTTTCTTTATTTTCTTCCCACGCTCAGCCTCTCCCTTCCTGTGTGTTCGTTACCAAGTCATGGAAACGTTTTAAATTCTGTCCATGACAGTGTGGGAATCCAATAATCAACTAATCATTGCAGCGCTACACACACAGTCCTGGAGACAAATACTTCAACTTATCTACATAAAAGTACCTCAAACAAAGCGGGGAATCAGCAGCTCGTCTGTTCAGTCAGATATAACTTCAAGAAGCTGCTGGGAAAGTAAATAAGAAAATGTAGCATGAGAGCTCATCGCTCAGGAAAAGAAACTTAGTGGCAACAGGAAAAAATAAATGGTTTGATCAGAGCAGAGCGCATGTAATATTACCTTCTCAATGCTCAACACGTCCACAAGCTTCAGGCTCATGAGAAGCCACAGAGACATGTTGGAGTGTGTGTGTGAACAGGAGGTTAAACTCAGCGCTTGGCCTTTTAGATGTGAAGCTCCACTCGTCTTATCTGCTCCTGCAGACGCTCCAAGCTGCCCCCGACCTGCTGAGTGGAGCAGCCTTGACCCATCCTTGGCTACGCTCCTCTTTAATATAAAATAAAAAAAAGAGCTTTCAGAAAATACTCGGAAAGAGAAAGTGATGAGCCAGTCAGTGAGAGCCTTAACTGCTCACACCAGTCCATGTCTTCACCCAGAATCATCGTCTCTGCATGTGGGCCAGTTTCAGGGATCTGATTAATTCATGATTCTACCACATTAAACATGCAGCACCTCATTTATAAGTTTATTTAGAGTTTATTTTTTCCAAACACCCCCTGGAAGCTGCTCATCCACAGGAGCCCAGACATACTTAGAGACTTAATGTTCATGTATCAGGTTACTGTGGCTCTCAGAAAGGACAGTGTCATCGACAATAGCTTCTATTAGCCGTAACAACAATTAGCCCACGGCTAACACAGCTGACCTCCACTTGACACAGCGATGCCATCTGGGAGAGTGTTGCACTTCTCTCCACACACAGACCTCGAGGATTAGTATTCAGGGCTGCTCATGTCTCGTGCTGGTCTGAATATCAACTCCACTTTTTTTGCGCCTCATTTCCCTTATTGCTTTTTAAAGATGTATCACCCAAAGAGCCTGAAAGCAAGCGGTCAAATAACGTGTCTTTTTGTTGTGCATGTTTACGTGGTCAGGAGTGAGCTCATGGCTTGAGATAATGTCTTCAAACATGGTGTCAATACTGAACAGGAACATGTATCATCAACACAGATTCAAAATGATCTGCAGACTTCCTGCTGTAAGTTACAGACACTGGGCCTCATGCAGCAACAATGTCCTAAACTCTCTCTTATATTCTCACCTTATTTTATATTAAGAGAAAAGATAAGTCAACTCCACCCAACATTTGTAACCATCCAAAGCAGCTCTTGCCCAGGTGTTCTGAATGATCACTTGATCAGAAATCTGATGTTCGTGGCTGATTGTTTATATTAGCCAAGGTAATGTAACACCTCCTAAACATTTTGTAAGGGCAGGTTTTGTGCCGTGTGCAAATACTCTGGCACAGGCCCAAGAATTTGAGAGATGCCACCAAAAGTATGCCTCTGTTCTGAGGCATCTCTGCCCTTCCACATGCAAATGAGGAAAGCCTCAGGCAGCGAAAGCACACCTTCCTGCCCTTCCATGTGCCTACATGGAAAGCCTCAGGCAGAGAGAGCACACCTCCCTGCCCTTCCATGCGCCTACATGGAAAGCCTAAGGTGGAGAGAGCACACCTCCCTGCCCTTCCATGCGCCTACATGGAAAGCCTCCGGCAGAGAGAGCAGCAGCAAAGACCCCCAGGATCAGAACAGAGCAGCATCAATGACAATCAGAAATGACATTGATGAGTCAGACGCAGCATGAAAAGGAGGAGCTGGGGTGGAGGCAGGTTGCAAAGCAGCTTGCAGAGGAAGCAGCAACAGTAGGCAGGTCAGAGCAGTTTAAATAGGGTGCCCTGAATGAGATTCGGTTGCATAGAAAGGAATGTGATCTATCAGCTGACTCCCTTTATTAATCAGCTGATCCATCAGTTGATTGATGTAGCTGGGGTGTGAGCTGAGCCTGGCGTCATGTCCTGGCAGAACTAACGCTATGCTCAGTTAATCTAAACT